TATATATTGCTTTGGACTATATGAGGAAAACAAACAAATACGTCAGAAATGACCTGACGGGTCAGTACTGGAATTACCGCTTACGCCGTATGAGTGATAGAGAGAGCAACAGTCGTATCTAGTATTACCATATGTTCTATTATACATTAAAAATACAGTTTTTTAAGAAACAGTATAATAACATTTTTTTATAGAATAAGGGTGACAAACGAGCACTCAGTCCACCTAACGTTAAGTGGATGCTGTAGCCCATATTCATCTACATCTATCCTCGATGAAGATGCTGTGCACTTTGCGATCGACAGAGCTTATTAGTTCAAGTTTATCATTTACAATAGCATACTGGGTACGATATTAATGTAACGAACGAAAATAACGACGATGAGTAACGATCGACGTGGAAACTATATCACGCGATAATATTTTTTGTTTTATATTTTACATTCTTTGAAATTTGGCTTTGACAAATTCACAGCCCGTCTGGCCTTTAGAGCACGAGGTCGCCACGACCTTTTGTAGTCGTTTTAGTGGATCCTTGTTCGTGTACCTATCGATGATTTGATTACGTCTAATGCATCTAAAATTAACTGACGGCTCCAAATCCACATTGTGCGAAATAATCAATTTAATTCTGTTTTCTTATGGTCCATGGCCAGAATGTAATTTAACAATCACGTTAAAAAATTATATGTGAAATAGCAGTAAATCGATCGAAGTTTCTTATAATCGCAATAAAAATTCGAATATTGAAAATATTAAAAAGTAACATTATTTATGGCCAGACTAGTTATTACAACAATAATGATAAAATTGACCTCATAGATGATTTCGACACCAACTCATGCTATATTTTTATTATAAACAACAAAGGCATATTTTGTAGGTCCTGGATTTTATAGTTCTACGCCCGATTATTATAAGCAAAAGTTTTTAGAGGAAATTTGGATAGTAATAGTGAAATAAAAACCAATACTCATCTTATTTTTGACATAGTAGAGCTATGTTAAGGCTGCAGAACGAATCGAGCTCGACCAAAGTAGTATCACGTCCTCAAAGAATACCAGCGTGAAAGCACAGAACAATGCTATGTTTCGTATGGTGAGCATAGAGAACTGAAGATCCTTTTTACTGTAACGAGGCATTCCAATTACTCCTTAGGAGTAACAACGCATCTGCATTTTTATTCTTAATCGAGAATCGATGTGGATATGTCTATGGGCAGTAGGGTCCACTGACCACTCTGCATCACTCTCGACACAAAGCTTCAGTGAGGTCCCCATATATCCAAACTAGCAAGCAGACTAAGCTCTGCAGCTTATGCTGCAAAAGAGATTAGAGATCTCACTGGTGTCGAGACAGCTAGATTAGTTTCTTTCAGTTATTTACATAGCATAATGTCTTAGGGGATTTTGCTATAGGTAAATGCGGCTGATTTAGAAACTATTTATGTTGTGCAGAAGAGGGTCATAAGAGCTATTTACAATCTTAAACCGAGAGAGTCTCTTAGAGAAAAATTTAAAGAAATAAATATATTAACTTTGGCCTCTCAGTATATTTACGAAAATTTTATTTATGTTCACAAAAACAAAGATAGTTTTAGTAAAAAAGTGATCTGTAAACAGTAGGAACAAACACAAGCTAGTGATACCAGTCTCTCGACTCCACAGAGTCAGTAATGCATTCTTGGGGCAATGTATACGCTATTACAAAAAAGTCCCAGAAAATATACAAGGTATCTCTATTATCCAACAAGGTCCCGGAAAGTGTACAGGCTCTCTCTATTACCAAGTTTAAATGTTTTGTTAAGTTGAAACTGTATAAAAAGGGTTATTATAGTATAAATGAATACATGGTTGATAATAACCGCTGGGAATGAGGTGGTCGCTTCCAAGCAGTTTCTAAAATAAATTTTGTACTTAAATACTTTGTACAACCATTAATGTAAAATTTGCTTGTAAAAAAAAGTCCCGCTGGGTTTCTCGCTGGTTCTTCCCAGGACAGAGGCTTTTTTTCGAACGAGTGGTAAAGTAAATAATGACTTTCAATAAGAATTACACATGTGATCTGTATTGAATAAAAAATATTCTATTCTATTCTATTCTATTCTATCAAGTATAAGTATTTCATTTAACAAAAACTGTATAAAAAGGGTTATTATAGTATAAATGAATACATGGTTGATAAAAACCCCTGGGAATGAGGTGGTCGCTTCCAAGCTGTTTCTAAAATAAATTTTGTATATAGTTTGTAATGATTCATATTGTAAAATTTATTTTAAAAAAAGTCCCGCTGCGTATCTTACTGGTTCTTCCCCGAACCAATGGTAAAGTATAAAAATGACTTTCAATAAGAATTACTTGTAATCAATATTGAATAAAAAAAATTCTATTCTATTTCATTCTATTCATCCAGTGGGCTATGTGCTCACATGTAACTCTTATTATATAAATTTAAAAATTAAAAACAAAAATATTTTAGTATTTCTTTAATCGATATTCAATTTCCGGCCTACAAATGTATGAAACAGAGCTTAGAAACGCGAACATATAACACATGGTTAAAATGATTTCATCATTATTCATTACAGCCCATTACATGTCCACTGCTGAATATAGGCCACAAGGCACGGTCCAGAGCCATCTTATACTTAGACTTACTGCATCTGTTACCATTTTGCCACTCCACTTATCAGTACGAGGCTGCCAATCAAGAACCTTTTTTCCCCATCGGTTATCTAGTTTCCGGCAGATTGTTACTTCAGCTTTCTGAGAAGTTGGGCTATGTCGGTTACTCTGGTTCTACTTCATTACAAAGTCTATCACTCCGCCATAGCCCCCTCCATAGCTTGCTGAGAGACTTTGAGATGTTTCATGTTTTAAGGTATAGCAGCAAAAAAAATCCGAGTTGAAAACGCTTTAAAGCGCTTTATGACGTAAAAAATATAAACTGCTTATAAGAACATCGCAATTAAAGTATAAACACTGTGATCTGGCCCAGTCGCCGGGAATAGTCCAACGAAGAACGACGTTCTGTTTTAAACACACTTTTATTTATATTTCAATTACAAAAAAATAACAAGTTTAAGTTTAAACTAGAACAAAGTGATGCAAATTTACGTAATCTTTATCAGTAGAAACATAAGTTCAAGGTATGATTATTATATATCCACAGTTTTATTACACGATTTAATTCTTTAAGGTTTTACGGTATATAGTGACATCTTAATACGAGTACAAGATATTATTGCCAGAAGAAGAAGTACAAAAATTAAAACCGGAATATAGAGGTAACGAACTTTAGCGTTGCACTAGACTTTGAGCATGTGTTATCCCGCTGGTATTCTTTACACACACTATGTGATTTTGTAATTAAATCAAAGTTATTCAATTGTTAAATTTTATGCTAGTTTAGTATGGTCACATGAGAAAGGAATATAAATTGGCTTTAAACATGTATTTAGTATAAACAGTGATCAAGACTGAATACTAATTTGAGATAACGAGCTGCTGTGTTTAATATGAAGAGTGTAGAGAGAACCGGAGAACCTTTTTACTGGAAACGAGACATTCCATCTTAGTCCTGAGGGGTAACAACGCATCTGCATTTTGATTCTTCATCGAGGATAGATTTAGACGTCTATGGGCCACAACACCCACTTATTATCAGGTTGACTTTTTGCTCGTTTATCACCCTTATTCTATAAAAAAATAATTTATGTCTAGCTGTTTAATTACAACAAAGATTTTCTAAGGAGTTCGCCTCAAGTGCCTACGTACACTCTCTTACCTATTTCGGCTGTCCTGTAATAGTGCATCCAGTGTTTTGTTTTAGCTTTCACATGCATTCTTAAAGTTAGCATAGTAATTACTTACCATCAGTTTGATAGTCAGCTTGTTTGTGTTATATCATAAAAAACCGGCAAAGTGCGAGTCGGACTCGCGCACCGAGGGTTCCGAACAAATCTGTAGGTATATAAGTTTAAAATTATTTAAAATATTTTTATTATATGATGTAACTAAAAATGTATACTTTTCGCAATTTTTCCTTTATCTGTGCTATAAAACGTTGCTTCGTACCAAATTTCAAGTTTCTGAGTTCACGGGAAGTACCCTGTAGGTTTTGATTCCCTTGCGAATGTCGAAAATTTACGGCATAAACCGCTGTATTTTTTGATTGCGTTGACCTAGAAGTTTGATTTTTTCACAGCTCTAAGGGACAGTAGACTTGAGTATTTCATATGAATTTCAGCTTGATACCTCCACGCATTCCTGAGAAAAAGGGTCTTGACAGACAGACAGACAGACGGACAACAAAGTGATCCTATAAGGGTTCCGTTTTTGCCTTTTGAGGTACGGAACCCTAAAAAGAAAAATAAAAAACTAAATATACGAAGACTTTTTAGAAAAAATTATGTTAACTATTTGTACGATTTGTGCAGAAAATTACGAAAATATTTTCCTTATTCAATTGTTTTGAAGTGATTCAACATAGGTTCACGTTCGTTGTTTCCTCTTACAGTTCAATCGGACACTTCGACGTTCGATTGACTAAGTAGACCCCATGATGCTAATGACGCGGGCAGGTGTATTGTGTTTTGCTCACCTTTAGATATTTTATAGAGCACATTTTACATTAAGAGTATATAATATGTGCGGAGTAATAGAGAAAATATTATAATTTTAAATATGCTCGATAGCTTAAAAAACTGATAACGGATGGGGAGGAAAGTTTCTAGCGTGGCAGCATCGTACCTGTAAGCGAAGTGTAGGACGGCCCTCCGTAGGTAAAGCAATGGCCGATGGATGCAGGTGGCTCAGTACCGTACTTTGTGGCATTCCTTCTTGGATGAATATGTTCAGTATTGGATTTAACCACCAATTAAAGAACATGCTCGTATTTATGGTACCTTTCCTTTTGTTTTATAAATCTAATATTTATTTTACAGGGTGGTTTACAGAAGTTTCTTAAAATATTAATAGCAAACAAACGGATAAATAAAAATGGGATTCAGAATTGTTTATGCAACATTAATTTTTGCGGCAATTTCATGTGGTTTAAATGCACAATTTCAAACAGGTAAGCATTCTTTTCTAATCCATATCTGAATACTAGATAGGCTTTTCAAAAATACCAACACGTGTGTGCATTCTAAAAATTGTAATAATTCAGATCCGATCCACTGTAATATATAGTTATATTATTTTATTGAAAGATGCTTGATTTTATACGTCTATCTCATAAAAACTCACATCTACGCCTCCATCTCTATCACATGACATATCATAAGATGTGATAAAACAAGTTTAAATAACTTGTTATTCAATATAATTATTCAAAGATGCTACAATACACACATATTCAGAATAACCAGGAAAATTTTTTTACATTCTATTCAACGTAACATGTCTTTACTTATACATCGTAAAATGTAAACCTGCTTGTTATAGCAAAAATAAATCCACTATAATTGGTCTGGTCTGAAATGGATATATTTGACAAACGCTGTGAATAATTTTTATTTATAATGCTATTTTTTTTTCATTTATAACCATGTCTTCCCGTGGGTGTCGTAAGAGGCGACAGAGGGCAACTGAGGCAAGAGATGGGCAACAGCATCTTTCTGACAACAGCAAAATAACAATAAAAAACTGCGGTTGCCAACCCGCTCACCAAGCGTGGCAACTATGGCAAGTGGCGACCATGGTATCGACGGGCCAGAGGGTGCTAAGAATCTCCGTTAAAGGTTCTATTGCCACCTAAGACGACTCAACCTGGCAACATATGACGCACGTACCCTGATGACTGACGAGAAGAACCTGGAGCTGAAAAAGAGATAGACAAGTTACGCTGGCATATTATAGGATTATCCGAGGTCCGAAAAGAGGGGGGAAAACACGGTAACCATCTGTCTTAAGGAGGTGTCGAATTCATCGTCCACAAGTCTCTCGTTAACAACGTTGTTAAGATTGGGAGCATGTCAAGGTGGCGTGCGTACCTTATACTCAAAATCACCAAACGATATTTGCTGCAGGTCATACAGGTTTACGCACCAACCTCGGCACATCCCTATGAGGAGATGGAGGAAATGTATTATGATATATCTAGAGCCATGCATTCCTCCAAAACCCACTATACGGTGTTAATGGGAGACTTCAATGTAAAACTATAAACAAGAAAGAACGGTGAGCTAAATGTAGGGAAATTCAGAATAGGGCAACGGAACCCAAATATGCCAGCAGCTGGCCGACTTAGAGAAAGAGGGACTCTTTGTGATGAACTCTTTCTTTTAGAAGCAGCCCCACAGTAAGTGGACCTGGTTGAGCTCCGACGGTTAGACAAAAAATTAGATAGATTTCATTATGACTACTAGACGACAATTATTCAGTGATGTCTAAGCGATCGCAGGGGTGAAAACCAGCAGCGATCACCGTATGGTGAAAGGTACGTTGAACCTAAACGTGAAGTTGGAGTCTAATGAAGTGAACGTTCCGTCCCTCGTGCTTTAATCCAAAGTCGCGTTATAAAATCGTTTTCAGTGCCTAGAAGATTGAAATGCAATGAACGATATGAATGACAAGCCCGTGGAAACTGTCCATGCGGTCGGATCTATGTTTTACAAGACCCATTAAGACCTTAAAAACAGAAAGTCACCGGGCGAGGAGCGAATTACAGCAGAGCTTCCGAAAGAGGATGAAAAAACAGTACTTGAAGTCCTTCAGAGGCTCTTTAATTCCGTCCTCCAAGGTGAGACTACTCTGGAGGCGTGGAGCAGAAGTGTGGTGGTCTTGTTCTTCAAGAAAGGCGACAACGTCTCTTGAAGAATTACAGACCGATTTTTCTTCTCAGCCGCGTCTGCCTGCTATTTTTGAGAGGCATTACGAATCGTCTCACACAATCGTTAAGCCTTTCTTAACGATTTCCAGCCTCCCAAACAAGCCGGTTCCGAAAACGGCTTAGCAGAAGACCGAGGAGTGCAATCTGCCACTATGTCTCGCGTATGTGGACTATTAGAAAGCCGTTAATTCCGTCGAAATTTGAGCCGTGCTACAGTCCCTTCAGCAGTGCCAATTTGACTATCGATATATCTAAGTGCTGAAGTGTTTGTACAGGAGGGCTACGATGGCTATACGAGTACAGGAACAGAGTACAAAACCTATCCAACTGCACAAAGTTGTATGACAGGGTGACGTTATATCCCCGAAACTCTTCACCGCTGGAAGACGTTTCAAGCTAAAGGATACGGTACTAATATCAACGGCGAGTACATCACTCACCTTCGATTTTCCGACGATATAGCCCTTATGGCAGTATCGCTGGATGACCTAAGCACTATGCTTAATGACATCAATAGTGTCTCCCAAAGGATAGGTCTTAAGATGAACATGGACAAAATGAAGCTCAAGGTCGCTCAGCGAGCTATGGAGAGGGCTGTGCTCGGGGTTTATCTGCGTGATAAACGTATAAAGGAGGATATCCGCAGTAGAACCAGAACGAGCGACATAGCCCAACTGATTAGTAAGCTGAAATAGCAATGGACCGGTCATAATCTCGAAGAACCGACAATCGATGGGGATAAAAGGTTCTCAAGTGGTAGCCTCGTACTTTTAGGCAAAGTGTAGGGCAACCTTGCGTAAAACATGCAGGAAGCTGATGGATGCAGGTGGCAGAACGATGCATTGTGGCATTCCTTTTGGGGAGACCTATGTTCAGCACTTGTGAAGGACTCTCATGATGATGATGCTATTAAAAACTCATCTTTATTTGCCCATAAACAATTTGCCGTATTTACTACATCGTTTCTTGTTATCTGTAGCCATTCTGGGTAAATCGTCAAGTGATTATACATCAAGTGTCAATAGGACAGGTTTATATTTACACGACTATCTGTTGAAGACTACAAGATCTTGGCATTCTTTAAGTTGCCACTTTCAACAGAGCATTAGGGATTTCCTAACACTTAATATATTTGTGTGAGTGTCACACAAAGATAGTTATATACAGATAAGGATGAAACAAATAAGACGAAATCGTAATTCATTAATTTTTTATACGAGTATTCAATGTCAAATCAAAATATTTTAAGGGCCGACGCATGGTAAGGTTGTGGTATGCTACCTCACCTCTTGGTCAATCTACCGCGAGGAAATGGCGAAATTCAAAATCACAGATTTGGACCCATCACTATGCACCCACGTCGTGTACTCCTTCGCGGGACTTGACGAGAACACAATGGGGGTCAAAATTCTGGGTAAGTTATACATGTTCATTAAAGAAAATTAATGATTATAAATTATGAATTCAATTTAAAAAATCGGATACCTGCTTATATAAAATTCTGTTATTTTTTCGATTGCTAATATGTCGCAATGTCTACTTTGTAACAATTAAAAAATAAAATACTGCGGTTACCAACCTGCAAGCCAAACATATCACTATGGCAAATATATCCTTTACGAGGCAATCTTTGAGAAGCCCTATATTCAGCAGAGGAGATCAACTGACTGTAATGAATGATGATGAACGACACCCGATTTAATCTTGTTTAACGAACAGCCAAATATAAAATTAATTTTAAACTTTAGAAAATAGAAAGAAAGAAAGAAAATAAGTTTATTTAGTGACACATTAATAACAATTTGCTAATAACAATAGCATATTTTAAATTTGGTAAATGGTTACTAAAAAGGTACCCAACTCAGCATAGACTTAGTACTGATAAAGTACTTGACGCTGATCATCCGTAAAGAAAATAAACTTAAAAATATTAATTATTATACAATGTACTTTAATATTTAAACCATTACATATTAACACTATCACATACATATTTATAATTTATAATATATAAATATAATAAAAGTAGCAATTACTTAAAGAAACGGAATAGAAAAGTACGTAAGACGCTGTGTATATTTTTCATCTAGTTGACTTTTGAATATTTAGTAAATATTTTGTAGTTATATTTAAACGAACCAATTGAAACTAGATATCTAATCGGTGATGGTATGTTGTTCAAGCATTTCGTGGTAGGATCCTGAAAGCTACTACGAAATGCAACTGTATTTATTTATACACTTTATTGTACTAAATTTAATAATTTATTTTTATGAATAGTTTTATTTTTATGAATATTACTTTACTTTTGTTTTTAAAACCCACTTGTTACGGGAATTGCTATATTGCTAATAGAATTTAATGAATGGCGTATTCCAGAGTCGTGTCTTGGACATACATAGGTCCTCGTACTAAACGAGTTGCATGTCTCGTTTGTTGATATTGTAGTATGTGCATCATTATGATACCAAACAATAAACTGGCAAAATAAAGGAAACGTCGAGACTGCATGTTCATTAAATGGCAATTATTGAGATAAGCAGTTACATGACTCGCTTCGGTATGTTAAAAAAAAGTGAACAAGCATTTTACACGTTTTTGTATTACTTTCTTCTGAAAAAGGAGACTCATCTATAACTACATCAGCTTAGAAAGAATATAGTGACTCGGAATAATTTATCCTAAGGTCTAAGCTTAAATATTTACATACTAGTTATAGAATAATAAAGTTACTTAAGTTATTTTTAATTCCAATAAAGAAGGAGGCTAGGTACTACCACCTACATGGAATCCTTTAATTAATAAAATTAAAACTAAACCCAAGCATACCACTGCAAGCCTTCAATACACAGTAAGTTCATTCTGCATAGATCGTACCAAAAGTAATACTTAAAAAACTGAAGGTACTCCGGGTTAACTCTGACATCGGGATTTTAATCACCACAGTCCCTCGTGACCATCGGCGCTGGAAAGTACCCAAAACGTCGGGAGTCAAAAATAAGTACAATTAAACGCGATAAAATCCGTAAAATTAGTTTTATTCAATAAAACTTTAGATTTGCTGAAATATATAAATGATTGAATTATAGTTCAAAGGAAATTTTATGCATCATTATCATTGTAGCAGTTAACAAGTCAATTTCTGAAAACTCCCCCAAAGAATGCCACAAAGCATGGTCCTGAACCATCTGCATCCATTGACTTCCTGGATGTCTAACCAGGTTGTCACTGCATCTAGTCGTGGACCAAACTCTAATGCATAATGACACTAAATTCATAACTGTTTGTTTTCAGATCCTGCGTTAGACAGAGGTGGAAAGTTCAAAAATTCAGGCTACAAAGGAGTTGTAGGTCTTAAAGCTAATAATCCTCACTTAAAAGTGACAATTGCTATCGGTGGTTGGAATGAGGGCTCCCTAAAATTCTCAAATATGGCTGCTACGCCCACCACCAGATCTCAATTTATCCAGAGTGTACTCGAATTTCTGCAGTTAGTATAATTTTTAATTATTTTTAAGACAAACAGCAGTTATTTTATCAAGCAACAAAACAATAACACAGCTACGTATATACTTTAAAACATGTTAAACGGCAATTCGGTAAACTTACTTTACTGTATACTATGTAGTAGATATTACTTTTCACCTTGGAGCCCGTCGGTCTTTTAGTACAACAATCTCAAGTTACAGATTATATACATCCTCTCATTGCAGGACCGGTTTTTTTGGCAGAGTGTCCACTGTACTGCACTAATGAGTGTTTCTGGACTTCACATGTGCTCCAAATATTTAAAATCTTTACGATGTTATCTTTCACCGCCAACCACGTGGTATATCAGGACTTAAAATTGCAACTAACAATTTCATTGGTGCCGTGAGGATCCAATACGAGTTACTCGCATACTGTTAAATTTACAGCAAACGCGTGGCCCCTGAGCTACCACAGCTCTCTGGTTTCTACCCTTTTATCTGTTTCTATCGTCACACAGGAATGCATGCTCTATTGTGTTTCGGTTTGAAAAATTTAAAAATTCAGCATAATAAGAATTTAAAAGCACTCCAACAACAAGCTTTAATCATGTGTAACGATTAGCTGTGTGGATCCTATTGATAATAATACTACAAAGGATCCGCCCCGGATTCATCTGGGTGGTATCTACTAGGGTGACACTGAAAGTTCTTAGAAAATCAAACTTACTTACTTACTTATCTTCACGCTCAATCTCTGACGGGGTAGCCAGAGAGAACAGATCGCCAAGTGTCACGATCCTTACATACCTCTTTCGCTTCTTTCAGATTCATTATCTTCTTCATACATGCACGTCTAGGTATCCGAGTACTCTTGACCCTACCCTCTTCGAGCAATTTGCTCACATGGTCTTCGAAAGTTAGTCTCGGTCTACCTCGACACCTTTTAATATTAACTTTCGCGCTATATATTTTCTTCACCATTCTGTCTTCACTCATTCGCTCAACGTGCCCAAACCACCGAAGCACGCCCTTATCAATTTTTGTGATAAGGTCATCTTTCAAACCTACCATATTGCGAATCTCTTCGTTTCGCTTTCGGTCGGCCATGGTAACGCCGCACATTTTACGAAGAGATCGCATCTCCACTGCATTCAACTTGCTTTTATGCTTCTTCTGACATACGCAGGTTTCGCTGCCATATAACAAAGTCGGTACCAACACTGCGTTATGTATTGCAAGGCGTGCACTCTTCACCACGCCTTGCCTTTTGACTAACGCAGTCAGGGCACCATTGACTTTGTTCCCGGCAGCGACACGTCTGTCCACATCTAAATCACATCTTCCATCCCGGCTAAAAGCACTCCCAAGTATACAATTTCATTTACTTGTTCTAGACATTCCTGATTTACCCATATTTCACACTTCGTTCTCTCTTCATCCCTTTCAAATACCAGAACCTTAGTTTTATTAGCGTTCAAACGGAGACCTTTAATTTCACATTCCTCTTTCATACACGTGACTAATGCCTGCAGTTCTGCCTCTGATGGTGCAATAAGCACTGCATCATCAGCATACAGCAGACAATTTACTTTAATGTCACCCAATTTCACACCCAAACAGCTATCTTTCAGCTTTTGTAAACAGCTGTCGAGATACAGTATGAACAGCCAGGAAGACATGACACAACCCTGTTTTACGCCCGTTTGGACGCTAAACATGGGTGACAGGTCATGCCCTACCCGCACACAGGCTTTACAGTCACAGTAAAGAGACTGCACAGCCCTTAGCAATCGACCATCCACACCATAGCCCGGCAACAGTTCCCACATTTTCTTCCTTACAACCTTATCAAATGCTTTCTCAAGATCCACAAAAGCACAGAAAATCCTCTGGTTAGCAGCCAGAAGCTTTTCCGTGACCATGCGGAGAGAAAACATTTGATCCGTGCATCCTCTTCCAGGTCTAAATCCGCATTGTGCCTCCCATAGAAATCTTTCCGATTTCTCTTGCATCCTCCGTGTCAAAACCTTCGAGTAAACTTTACTTGCTAAACTGGTCAAGCTGATCGCCCGATAGCACCCGCAGTCAGAATGTGAACCTTTACCTTTATATAAAGGCAAAATGACTGAGGATCGCCAATCATCCGGGACATCCCCCGTCCGCCAGCACAAATTGCACAGCAGATGAAAGCTGTCCCAGACGCGAGGCCCACCATACTTGACCATTTCAGCAGTAACTCTGTCTAATCCCGCAGCCTTACCACATTTCAAACTTCGAATCGCACGTTCAATCTCTTTCATACTGATGACCTCAGTGTCATCGAGGTCCGGGTCTGGCGTACCAGTCACGGCGTCATCCCCGGATCCCTCACTAAGATCATCACACGCATACATTTCTCTATAAAATTCGCTCCATCGCTGCATGACGTCCGATTTTTCTGAGAGGACGTCATTAGTTCTCGAAAGCACTTTGTTCATTCTTAAGGCCGTCGCACCACTTCGGGTCCTTCCAACCTCTTTCCAGAAGAGTTTGGAGTTCTCCTTGAAGTTGTGCGACAACCTTTCGTCCGCTTCCATTCTACACCTTTCACGCACTTCCTCAATCAGTGCTTTCGTGTGAACTTTCTGCAGCCTATATCTTTCTTTCATCTTCTCTCTCATATCCTTATCATTACTAGAGGCCAAGTAGTCTAACCATGCTTTCTTCTTCTTCTTTACAGCTTCTTTCACTTCATCATTCCACCATGCATCTCTTCTTTTACTACTGCCTCTTTTTATTGTTCCACACACTTTTTCCGCTGCACTTACCATTCCATCCCTAAGGTTCTGCCATGTTCTTTCTACACATTCGTTTCTGACATCGATGGTGTCAAGCTTTTCGGCTACCCTCGCATGATATTTGTCCCTAGTATCCGCTTCCTGAAGCTTCCAGCTTCGGATGCGACAGACCGACTGTGGTTCTGTCACTGCCGTCCGGTAGCGCCAACCCGCGAACAGACCCCTAAATCTAGTAATCACTAGATAGTGATCCGTTCCCAGGTCAGCACCCCTGAACACTCGCGTATCCATAACCTGTTTTCGCAGTCCAGGAACAAATCGATCATACTTCTCTCATTCTTTCTTTCTCTAGTATACATATGGATTTTCTTGTGATTAAACATAGTGTTTGTCACAAGAATACCCTTTTCCTTGCATACCGACAGTATAAGCTTGCCAGCATCATTAACTCTTTTATCGCCAAACTTTCCAAGTACCGACTCGTACCCTGGTCGAGCGGTACCAACCCATCCATTCAAATCACCACATACAACAATTCTTTCGTTTCCCCTAGCCAAATCTAGAACTTCTCTTACATTCTCCCAAAACTCCTCCGCATAAACAGCCAAAAGGAATAACTTCGTCAGTCCCAATTTAAAGCGAACCCAGAGAAGTCTTGAGTTCACAAACTTATATTCAGTCATAACATCGACCAACCGAGAAGACAGCAGCACCCCCACTCCCTGGCAGGCGTTCTCGCTCTCCGGGACTCCGGACCATAGAGCTAACGCCCCGCCAGGGAGCTCTTCAGTACCACTGCCCTTTCGTTTGGTCTCCGACATACACACGACATCTAATCCTCTTTCTTTCATTATTTCGATCAACTCATTCGTCTTATCTCTCATGCCTCCTCTAACATTCCACGTGCCAACTCTGCACTCTGTCCTCCACCTTCCGCCGTGTCGGGCTGTGCGTGACGGGTGGCGGTCCCCATCGCCGCTTTGCGCGCTGCATTCCACACCAACGGGGACGAGCTGGTGTGCGTCGCCTTGGGGGGACGCCCTAACCCTCGTTGGCATGTGTGCGCAGCTGAGTAGAATTGCAGCCCTGAAAAGGGCTGGCAGGGGTCGCGACGAGCACGCTTCTACAATGACCCCGAAACTAGAAAAGAAAATCAAAAACTGAACAAACTAGCAAGTTTCAAGTTATTATTATATCTTTTAAAAATAGTGTCCATTTACATCAATATATCGCTGTATCTGATAGAACCACTGAGAAAAGTACTATGCCCACTCGTCCTTAGGGGTCTCTTCGACGGCATTTTGAAACGTAGCCACTGCTTCCTCGGTGTCCATGAAACGTTTTCCTCGAAGTTTTTCTTTTATTTTCGGATATAAATAAAAATTGCAAGGTCGGGGCTATAGGACCGGTGACCCAGTAATTCCACGTCTGAAGTCGCCAAATAGTCGATTTTTTACTTGGCGCTGTGCGACGAGGCGTTGTCATGGTGAAGAAGGATCCTACTGCGAGGTCGTTTCTCCCAAACTTTTACAAGACAAGTGGCAAACAATTGTTAGTGTGCCACTCTGCATAATTGTTTTTCGATCCTCTAAAACAATAGTAATAATGTATAGATGTATCGATAACATTAACAAAGATAGTTAGAAGTAGAGACTTTAGAAATGAGTTGGGCGGTAACTTGAAATTTAGGCCTAGTCAGTTTGAATAGCCTGTCATGTAGAGGATGTCATGGGGGTCAAGGTTGAATAGGGGCAAAAAGTTCTCATTACATTCCTAGGGGGTCAAAATGGCCAAAAACAAAAAAAAATTCAAAATTCTTATTTCGGCTATAATTCCGCCTCCTTCGGAGGTTCTTACTAGTACAGTCTTTACTTCCCGTATTCCACTACTTACAAATCGATATAAATCAGTTAATTTGCATTTTGGGAATTTTCTTTTTTGTCTGACAATTGAAGTATTATTTTTTTACAGCACGCATAAATTTGATGGAATAGACATGCATTGGAAATATCCTACTGTAAGGGATGGAAAACCCGAAGACAAAGTCAACTTCATAACCCTGATGAAAGTAAGAAACTCTGACGTAACTAAATGATTATCGTTCGTTATTACATTATATTAGTTCGGGGGAAAAGTTTCTTCGTATTTTATATACTAATTAAAGACTTTTTTTTTTCAAAGTTAATAACATTTAGTTATTATATGTATATGTGTACCATTTTGATCGATAACTTATTGTCATCTTGTAGGTAGTGACATAATCCCGTCGCTGTAGAAATCTTGAAATTTTTGATTAAAGTGCAACAAGTAGTTTAGACAGTTTTCTCTTGATGTTAACCTAACACTACCCAAAGAATTCTGAAGAGACCGAAACATGTGATAATCTAAGGCTGCAAGGTTAGGACTATATGGTGGATGCATTAACACTTCCCTACCAAGCTCTCCCAATGTTTGCTGTGTGGCCAAAGATGTGCGTGGTCTGGCGTTATCATGATGAAAGACCACACCTTTTCTGTCGATTATTTCTGGTCGTTTTTCTCAATTTCTTGCTTGAATCTCATTAGCCATTGACAGTAGATATTTGAATCGATGGTTTTGCCCGGCGGTAAAAGCTCATAATTAACGATGCCCTTCCAATCCCACCATACATATAGCATCACCTTATTACGTGTTAATCCGGGTTTCACTAAAGTCTTTGGAGCTTAAATACCCTTTTACCATAATCTTTTTTACACGTTCTTGTCGTAGGTGATTAATTATTTATCATCAGTGATCATTTTGGTTCGGTTTAATTACGTTTCAATAGAGAATCGCAAATGAGTACACGATTCATTAGGTTCTATCAATGATTAATAGAATCAGGCGTTACTTTGCGGAAATCCATTATATAAAAGCTATTAAAAAGTTACTTTGCAAACATCCGTTTTATAAAATAATATAAAATGATGTCTTACCTAGTATGAAGAGCACCTCCCGCCTCCCCTCATTGCGTGCACTATCCCCGTCACCACTAATCCCAGCACCACTACTTAGTACAGTCTGTATAAAAGGCAGTTATTTTGGCTAACCACTCACTTAACGGTGAGCGACCGTAGAGTCTATATCACCTGAGGATGCCTCGTGTAGAGGCGAAACTCGTGTGGTATTGTAGTCAGTGGTGTGTCTTTCCTAGTGTAGTGGTGTTGGGAGTAGTGGTGCTGGGATTAGTGGTGACGGGGATAGTGCATGCAATTGAGGGAGGGCGGGAGGTGCTCTTCATACTAGGTAAGACACATCATTTTATATTTTATTTTATAATTGGATAATATTCATTTAGGCGAATAGAAAAACAATTGAAAAATTGCGGGAAAGTGTTTTTTACTTTTGATTTTACTTTTTCTTAATGTCATATATGTATTGATATTAAAACCAGTCAGATACAAACAGTACAAACAAAGAGGTTTTTCCTGAATTTTATACAAACAAAATACGAAGAAACTTTTTCCCCGACAAGCAAACTGTAGAACATATTATTACTAATATTTTTTTAATTATCGGGTACACTTAAACCACATAAAGCATCTTTGAATAAATAAGAATAAATTGTGATTTTTGAAATGGGGGTGAGAAACAAGCACACAATCCTGATGGGCAGTGAATGCTATCTTGTCAGTGGGTGCCAATTCTTACATAACAAGAATTAAAAATATGTTCTTTTTATAATTTAGTTAATATATAATAATAAAAGAATAAGTACCTCTTCCTTATGTTGCAGCTTTTGTTAATCCATCGCTGGTTTTATATAAAAAGTTACAGCTTATATACGTCCCAACTCTGTGCAAAGTCTGCATCTCATTACTGGGAGGGTTTAGGGCGGGAAAGTGTCTGCCACACTGTCCCAACGCGCGATGGCGGTCTCCACGTCATGGAAATATTATTTTTTTATTTCTCAGACGTGCAGGTTTTCTTAAGACATTTTCATTCAACGCCAAGTACTTAAAATTGCGATTACCAATTTCACAAGTGCCGGCGGTATTAAACGCGGGTAAAATTAACAACAAGCGCCTTAGCGTCTGAGCAACCACGGCTCTATACGACATGGCTAGATATATGTAGTTAGGCCTAGTAGAATATATGCTAATGCCAAACTTAAAAGAGTTTTCCGATATTCACCTCATTGGCCGCACAAGATTTCGAGCCCTGAGCCAATACCTTCTCACTGGTAGTGTTGCTTCCAAGAATCATTCTGTGCAATTGTGTTCAAAATGAATTAGGTGTCATTAGTTACTCCTCAAATTTTCGTGCTCGTATACAGTTGAGATTGGGATTTATAAAAATATATCTGATGTAGCTTAATTCATTGCAAACATTATAGTAACCTTTGTCATATCTTTGGAGATAGCAAACTTAGAAGTAGCAAAAAATTATATATATCAAAAATATTATTAAAAGCGCAGTGTAGAATTGTTCCAAACAAACTGGAGTAACGATTTGATAACACATGAAGAAAGTCTATGCAGAAGAATGCCTCTGTTCAACAGTAGGCTTGTGAAGGGATGTTCAATTATTAATTAATTTATGATGTAGTGATTTTAGAGTTTAGGATGTAATAATGATGAATGATAATGATACTGGTCGCTTTAAGATATTTATTGTTTGTTCTACCTATCCCTACTTTTATTTTCAAATCATTCTTATTTTTTTTTCAAAACTAAATTTCAAAACAGAAACATCTAAGAGCTTTGCAGTAAAACAATATATATGTATTTATGTATATACTCATTATATACTCTTTTGTGACTATACAAATAATTTTTTCCTCACCAGGAGCTAAAGGAAGCTTTCAAGCCCCATGGGTATATTCTAACCACAGCAATTAGTGGTATCAAGTATTACATGGACACTGCTTACGACCTCCCTCAACTGAATCAGTACATAGATCTCATCCACGTGCTGGCTTACGACTATCATGGCACATGGGACGGTGTTGTCGGAGTCAATGCTCCTGTTAAGGGTTTGAACAGCGACGATGTATCTGATGTGGTAAGTATTTATCTAGTATATTTAATATAATTTAGTAGTATTATGTTGCCTAGCATAATATGTTTTACATTTCTTCAATAAAATATTAAAACTAAAAATACAGTTAATTATTTAAAAGATTATTTATTTAAAAGAGCAATTAAAGAACAATAGTGAATTTAAACAAACGGGTACCGAATCAATGAAGCAATTTATCGTTACTATTAGATTTTATGAAAATTTTAGGTACTCTTAAACTCAGAATTAATAAAAGAAATAGTTTTCGTCAGTTTTATCATAACATTTTGATAAAGTTTTTTTTTTCGTTAATAAACGTATCCCCACACTAGGATTTTCTCCTGTATCGTGGAGGCAGTTTACAAACATAAATTGCACGAGGACAAACATCCAGACCTGGAACAATTATTTGTAGGCCATGCAAATAATTGTTCCGTGCGGGATTTGAACCCGCGGCCCCCAGCGCTACAAGCGCCACGGAGCCGTTAATAAGAAAGAATGTTAAAGTTCAAATCGCTAATAAGGTACCTGTTCGCTGAGTAAAAATAAAACATGTGTTTTTGTTTGTATTTCCTTTAATGAGGTAAAAGCAGATAGATAAAAGTTTAGTATGGAGTGTGACCTCCTCTTGCTGAAATCACAGCTTATCACAGCCTGGGCATGATAGCGAGTATATCTCTTATGGTTTCTTGCGACATACGTTCCCACTCCGCGGTAATCATAGTTTTTCGCTTTTTGATAGTCTGCAGAGCCCGCTGCACTTATCTCACTCGTAGTTTCAGAACGTCCTCTGACGTCGACTTGCTCTGTGGGATTTTTTTGTAAACGAGTGTATGTTTATGTTATTCAAATAAAAATTAAAGTTTTGTTTTTCCGTAGGAATACACAATTAAGTACATATTGTCACGTGGAGTTAATGCTAACAAGCTAGTTCTTGGTTTGCCTCTATTCGGTCGCACCTTCATTCTCGAGGAACCTGAAACAAAGGATATAGAGTTTGGAAGCACGCCTGTCAAAAGTGAAGGGTTTGGGGGCCCTTATACTAAAGAACTAGGATTTATGGCTTACAACGAGGTATTATTAGATTTTTGTTATTATTTTTTTACTACATACGAAATGATTTTCTCATGTATTGGGCGTTTTTATTTACGTTTTAAAAAATTGAAGTGGCAAAAGAATTTCCAGTTCCCATAGTGGTACTGCATCCCTGAAACACCAGTCACAAACTTCAAACAAAGAAGGCTACAGGTGCGTTGCTACCGCAGACGACTAAAATGGTAAATCTCACAGCCAGTATTTTTACTGGCTTCTGGACCGGAATGTGCTGTTGTTTGGCGGCAAAATAAATAAAAGGGAGTCAATTGAATTCTGTGTTTTAGGTCTTTCCAACTAGTAAATTTATGTTGCCATACCGAATTGCGCTTCAACAATACATCATACAAACAATAATTTATAGGCCATACAAATAGTTGTTCCGTGCGTGATTTGAACCTGAGATCCCGCAGCACCTCAGCTAAATTTTCAACCTACCGAGCCGTCAAATTTAATATCAAAGTTAGATGTATAAAGACAATTACGATTTGAAACCACAAAGTTTGGCTTAAGTTTATACGAATAAAAATTTACTTTAAAATATCTCAGTTCTTTATTTAGTACTGAATCGTGTTTTGAGCAAGCTCATTACGAAGAAAAGACGATTCATGTTCGCCAAAATTCCGGCTATCATTATTAAAACTTTTGTTTATGGATTTATAAATTTTCTCGTAAAAATATCCTCTTAATTCTCATCAAGCCGTAAAAACTCCACTGCTGACACGTATTTCTGCCAAAATTGGAAGGGTGTGCTACAATCGCCATGCTTGAATTGGCAATCAATTTCATTCTGCTTTCCGTTGTGTTTTGTGGAAGTATTGCAAACGAGCACATGGCTCGCCTAATGGTAAATTTTGACCGCCGCTCATGAACAACTGCAACACCAGGGTAATTGCAGGTGCTTGTTGCAGGCCTTTTAAAAAGTTGTACGCACATTTTTTTAAAGTCCTTAAATCGTCATCATCATCATCATTACAGCCCTTCACAAGTCCACTGCTGAACATAGGGCTCTCCCAAAGAATGCCACATAATCCTTAAATCGTATCGGTCCGGAAAAATTGCCAGTGGTAAATGATTCCACAAAAAAGTCGTGCGCGGAAGAAAACTCAAAATATTTGTAATAAAAGGTAATGAATGATAAAATATTCTTTTATCACCCAGACAAAAAGAAAAGAATTGATTAGCATTATTTTCTTCCCAGGTAGCTAATCCTATATTTTTAGGATCCATCTTCCTCTTATGATATACAGAATTTTTCGCTTATTTACATTTCTTATTATCCTTTTTAAGCATACGAGTATTCAAATTACATCGTGCAGAAATATTTAATTACTTACGGTTAAGTTAAGTGCAGGGTAAAACAGCCTTTATACGTCTCAAAGCTGCCTCCTTTTATTTCTGAGAGGTTTTTAAGGTACGGAATATTTCGAAGCACTGTCCAGTGCGTGTTAGCAAATATTTTATGTCCTTGAATTTTTTTAAAAATTTCGATGACATTTATGAACCTAACGATTTTTTCTTGCTTCTTTCATCACCCAGCGTAGTTAATAGTGCCGGCGTGAATCAACAACCTCGATTTGCCCGTGTGCTACATAATTTTAAGACTATATTTTTATTCACTTATCTTTTCCGTAATTATTTTCTTTTATCAACAGATTTGTTTGGAACTGACTAACAATAAAAACAAATGGACTCGTCATTGGCACGACCAGTCGTCTACACCCTACCTTCGCAACGGGGATCGTGTGATAACATACGACAACGCGAGATCATTAGCTGTTAAAGTAAAGTAGGTTATAAAACTTAAAATATTTGTTTAATAATAACTCGCAAGTTAGCAGCGAAACTAAAATGTCCCGCTGTTACGTAAAAACGAGCACAGACAGGTGACACTCCGCCGATAGCATAGTTACGAGCTCGTGTCGATCAAAAGTGATAGTAGCAGCTAACCCATTGACGCAGTGATGATATACCTTCAGCGGAAGTATCACCATTGGCCGGTTGACGCTTGCAAATTATCTCATTTTTTTTCAATTTACCGTGATTGCCCATGTACGGAAAATGAGCATTATAACAATTAGGTAAAAAAGATATAGAGCTAACAGTTGTAGAGCCACGCGGCAGCTTTTGCTGTCACACGGATGGGCCGGCTCGAACCGGGGTGGTACCACGACCTCACAGAAAACCAGCGTGAAGTAGCCGTTTACCTCTGCGTTTCGCTTGGTGAGTGCAGGTGGCCGGAGGCCCTTTTTAATGGAAATGAGGCATTCCATCTTAGTCCTCACGGGTGACAACGCATTTACATTTTGATTTGTAATAGAGGATAGATGTAGATGTCTATGGGCCGCAGCAACCACTTACCATCAGGTGGACTGTGCGCTCGTTTGTCACCCTTATCCTATAAAAAAAAGATATATAGTTATATATCTTTTTTACACGTGGCAAAATATCATCAATCCACACTTATTTTTTATATCTATATGGTATATAAATCACAAGGGTTTAAAGTGAAACATCACGATTTACTTTAAACACTTTAATCGTTTAAAATATTAAATTTTACACATATATTTAGTGCATATTTCAACTCCTCTTAACCATTTACTAATTATGCAATTATACTAAAAAAATAAGCAAGTCAACTTGCTAATTAAATACGTATGCATTACTAACTTTTTTTAGGAAAGCAATGGAATACGACCTCGCAGGAGTAATGGTATGGTCCATTGATACGGACGACTTTAAAGGCTTGTGTGACAAGGAGCCCGATTATGTATCGGTGTCATTCTCAACTCTACACAATTTCGTAGAAAAGTTCAATCGGATTGCCCGAAATCCGGTTTTGCAGAGGCTTTTACAGAACCTTAATCTCCCAAATGGTGAGTATTTATAGAATTTACAAATTAACTAATATTTTCACCTATCCATCACAGGTTGCTTTTAATTGTTGAAATATGGAGATATGAAAAAATTACCACGTACTTGGCGGTGAAGGAAAACATCGTGAGGAAACTTGCATGTTTGAGAAATAAGTAAAAAAATATTTCGAAGACATGTGAAGTTAGCCACTTTTTTATAGGTTAGAGTGACAAACGAGCACACCTGATGGTAAGTGGTTGCTGTGACCCATAGACATCTACATTTAACCTCAATAAAGTATCAAAATGCAGATGCGTCCTCACCCGTGAGGACTAAGGTGGAATGCCTCTTTTCCAGTAAAATGGGTCTCCGGTTCTCTACACTCACCATACGAAACACAGCAGTATCAAGCTACCGTTTTACGCTGGTATTCTGTGAGAGCGTGGTCCTTCCCAGGTCGAGCCATCCCATTTGTGCTACAACTATACTACTAATATAGCTGCATTCACCAGAGATGTGCGAAAATGCGTAGCGAGGGATGTGTTTGTTAAGAACCAATAGAATCACTTCATTTACCTAGTTTTGCTCAGCGCAGCTCTGGTGGAAACGGCTCAGCGGAGAGAGGTTTTTGTACATACAAAACAAGAGAAGGATGTGTTGCGAGTTTAAACAAAACGAAATACTATTCAATTTGAAAACAATTTAAAACATTCCTGTTTATAATAATATCCCTTCGTAAAATTGAACTTATAACTTTATATCTTTTTTACACAACATCCATAGATATAATTATATTTTTATCCTGCTACACATCCTCGCACCGCTCATCTGCGCACCGTTTCACAGCGTCGCTACGCATCCTCGCACCGCTCAGCGGCCTAGCATATTTCTGGTGGAAACGCTCACACCGTTCCACAGCCTCGCTACGCATCTTCGTAACGCCTAGCTACCTCGTACATCTCTGGTGGAAACACAGCCTTAACCACTCTCAGAAATGAGGAGAGGCCTGTGCCCAGCAGTGGGACGTATATAGGCTGTAACTTTTACACGTTTCCTTAAGATGTTTCCTTCAATGTTGACCATACTATGGTAAATAAACAGATAAAACTACGACTAACAAAATTTCATTGCTGAGATTAAACCAGGTTTGCATAATGGGAAATTTACGACGAGCGCTTAACCTCTAGTTAGTAGTCTAGCTACTACGGCCCTTTTTCATTCATTCATTCAATACTGTTTATTAAAGTCCACTGCTGAACATAGGCCTCCCCCATAGATCGTCTTGATTAGATTGGGTATGCAACCGCAGTTTTTTATTTCTAGTCGTTATAAGGGAGACGCTGCTGCCCATCTCCTGATTTGTTTCCCTCTGTCGCCTCATATGACACTTACGGGATGATAGAGGATAGGCGGTAGTTGCAAAGTGGCTCGAATAATGTTTAATACGTCTTAATTCAGATTCTGTTATATTTCTTGAATTTTGTTAGAAATGATCTAATTTCAATCGTTAAAATATTAGAAATTAATAAAAATAAAGAAATTAAATAAGAACCATTTTAAAAACATTTTGACTACATTACTGATTGACTACATATTGATATAATCAACAATACTTACTAACATTAGTACTTAATTATATAAAGTACCCATTTCTAAAAGTAAAAACTTTATTTTTCGAATTCTTATATTTACAGCGCAAAAACTTGACAGTTTGAGCAAGGCTTCTGAATTCGCACACAAGAATCATTTATGGGCCATCGAGTCAACATCAAATTATCCATTGATGCGAGCTATTGATGAGTCTATAACTCTGGCGATAGAAGAGAAGATCATTACGGCTGATATGATCGGCATTCTTGATAATAATAAAAACGTAACAACTAACGTCAATAGTGTTTACACTGTTGTCTGTTACTTTTGTTTTATTTAAATTTATGTTTTCAGTCAATATAAAATACATACCACGTTTAGAAATGACATTTACAAACTTTTATATAGTTTTTCAAGAAAGAACAATAAATTAAAAAAATAATTAAAATGTTTGTGTTGGTTTTGAAATCATTCATTTATTATTAGGCCGTAGTAACTCAGGTGCTAAACATACATCGTAGATTTTACAGTACACGACCAACTCAAGTTCGTTCCCCAACACATAATTGTATTATTATTATTATTTTGTAGGAGAGGGAGCAAACTAGCACACGTTTACATATTGTTACATATTGTGCAAATACGCTTAAATACTACCTGTGTATGCATGCAGCTTTTTTTGCAATGCTATCACACGAATGCTTTAATAAATCACTATAATTTTACCACAAGACGCCGTTTTATTTAACTACCCGGAGAATTACTTTACATTATAACAATTTTTATAAAATATTAGGGAAACACCCCACAAGCTAAATAATTAGGCAACAAAAATTAACAAGGTTCTTTTCAAGGCAGGCTAAGGTAACCCCTGGACGCCAGTAACCAAATTCAAGCAAAAAAAAAACACAAATGCGTAGATACGCTTATATTTGACTAAGACTTTTTTACGTGGTAGAGCCAGGCTGTAGCTGTATTAATAGTATAGTTGTAGCACAAATGGGTCGGCTCGACCGGGGAAGGACCACGCTCTGACAGAATACCAGCGTAAAATAGTAGCTAAATGCTGCTGTGTTTCGTATGGTGAGTGTTACCGGAGAACCATTTTACTGGAAAAGATGCATTCATATTAGTCCTGACGGCTGACAACGCATCTGCATTTTAATTCGCAAACGAAGATAGATGTCTATGGGCCACAGCAACCACTCACCATCATCTGGACTGTGTGCTTGTTTCTAACCCTTATTCTATAAAAAAAGAGATACAATGCAGCATTTGTAGTAATACTGGCTCTTAGATTTAGGTAAGAGATTGGTATCAACTAAGACAAATTCTTGGGAAGTGTTCCTGATTAGTCGCCATAGCGTTATATATGACATTTATTTAAATCACGATCAGCCTTATCAAATAAACTAGTGGATGGAGGGGTATGCTTCCTCAATTACTAAGTAACTATTAGACGGAAAGAAACTAACAAATCAGATGATATCAAATACTTATCAGCGTTTATTTAGAAGGAGCAGGCAATAATCAAAGAGTTTAATGGCTCATCAATTAAAAAAATACAAGTGTGGCAAATGACAAAGCAGAATGCCTCATAGCCAGAGCAGAACACAGCAGTGCACGTACTGCTGATTAGCGGTAGTTATTAATGAGAGCGTGGTACTTACTCCGACGTACTACAATGCAGAAAAAGAGTCCAACCACCTAGGGTTCTACTAAATTCTCACATTTAAAAAAAATAATTAAATAGTTCTTAATGCTAAAGAAAGATTTGTAAATGTACCTTGTGATATTATGTTTTCTGTCCAAGATTTAACCCAATTTTTGTTTTGCTTGCGCCTCTGTTTAAATGTTGATGTACTTGTTGCAGCAGCAGCTATAACCTTGTAGCTTTGACTTAACAATGAGGTGGCTTTTTCATTATCGTGGTCATCATCATTACAGCCCTTCACAAGTCCACTGCTGAACATAGACTTCCCCCAAGGAACACCACAAGGCACGGTCCTGAGCCACCTGCATCCATCGACTTCCTGCATGTCTTACCAGATCGTCACTCCATCTAGTGACAATGAGGTGGCTTTTTATGGGTTTTTAATATTTTACGCTACGGGTTCTAAAGATTTTACATGCGTAGTATTTACAGCAATTTTATTTAATATGTAAACACAGCGATAAGTTACTTTCATAAAATGTTCGAAAGAAACTTACAAGTGAATAGGCGTCCTTAAATTAATATTTAGGTACTTATTGATAATATTGTAAATAAGTTACTGCTAAATTCGTTTGTAATAAGACTGTATCTGTACTATTCAACAACTTTAATGTTCCAATTTCAAACTGTTGATCATAAAAAATACATACATAGCCACAATCCATCATATTATATTTATTATTAATGAAAAAAATTCAAGCGAAATACTCAAGAAAGCAGATAAGATTTCCCATCGGCATCGTCTCAGGAAATATTCGGCGTTTCTTCTTTATTGGTAATCTGCCCTCTTTTTTCTGCCGACTGGAGTGCCGTCCAGGTAAGACAAGTAGGAAGTCCATGGAGCCAGGTGGCTCAATACCATATTTGGGGCAGTCATTGGGGGACACCTATGTTCGACTGTGGACTTGTAACGAGCTGTAATGATGATGACAATGATGATGAAGCAAATAAAGACTTAAAAAACTATCCATGTAATTAAATAATCCTGCTAAAAAATTAGACTGCGTCCAAATAAGATTATTTTAAAGCACTTCAACCAGACAACCTTATCGTTCATCTCAAATGAATTTTTATTAATCGGTGTCAGGACCGCAACATTTTTGAATGTAATGATTTCTTATATTTACGCGAACACTACACATTGAAAAAAGAGTCCCCCGTGACCACGGTTGCTGGAAAGCAACCGAAACGTCGGGAATATAAAATAAGTTAATTAAACGCGATAAAATCCGTAAAAATAGTTTTTATTCAATTTTTGAATGTATCACAGGATGCGACCTTACGATGGTTTCCAATAATTAGCTTTACCAGATCTTTTTTAGCAACGCAAGGCTCAGGAATCTGAAAACCATCGTCACTAAAAACTTCTGCATGTGGCAGACGTGTTTCTCCAAGTTTCAGAAGCCATTCGGCATATACTTTCACCCTTAAGGACTAAGAAATTCGTCTCCTGTATATATGTAACCGACAATTAAAACAATTCTGCCCAGAAAAAATTGTTTACGGTAGAAATAATTGATAGATGGTAGAAATAAAAGTTGCTTGACAATTGGCGGCAGTGGAGACATGCGCCTGTTAAAAAAATAACTCAAAATCCTTCAAATTGGCTCATTCACCTGATTGTTTTGTTTATGTCAAATATGACCAGGGGTTTTCAGTTAAATTTCCGTTTCCGAAATATTTATCTTTAAATTTGTGTTTTTCATTAGTCATGTCCCTCCCCCCTCCCCCCACTACCTACTTAACCTAGGAAATGTGAAAAGTATATACAATAGTAGTATATATATGAAGTTAAAAGGAAAACTATCACAGCTAAGTAGAATTAAGGATACGAGTAATAGTCGACCAACTTATTAAATGCACTTGGATTAGTAAAATGTCGTTACTACTCTATAGAAAATGACCTAAAACTAGTTGCATTAATAACTTTGTAATGTTACTGTAAACTGTTAAAAATAAACATTTTATGAAGAAAACGACTTATATACATTACTACTAATAGCTTTGCTTTTCCATTTGCGGGATAGATAGGGTATTATTATTAAAATCGAAAAGCTTTTTTAATATTTTCTTTTAGTACCGCTCCCTGGTTGATTTGAAAATAAGTCCTTCAGTTACGATCTTCCTAGAGGTAATATGAGTAAAATATGAGTATCTCATTATTAAAATCCTGTTGAATATGAGGATAACAAATGAGCACACCGTAGGTACACCTGGTGGTAAGTGGGTGGTATTGTCCATAGACACCTACATCAAACCACAGTTAAAATACAAGTTGAAATGCGTTGTCAGACCTGAGTAGTAAAATGAAATGCCTTCTTACCCGTCAAAAGGATCTCTGTTTCTCTACGCTCACACTACGAAACAAAACTGTAGGTACTAAGTTGCTATTTTGTGACGGCCTAACTACAGAACCCTACCTCTACGTTGTGCGTAGCCCAACACGCACAACGTAGTTTTTTTTTTCTGAATTTATCTATCAAATAGTCTAACTTTTTTACGTGGTAGAGCCATCCTTCAGCTATATTAGTAGTATAGTTGTAGCACGAATGGGTCGGCTCGACCGGGGAAGGACCACGCTCTCACAGAAAACCAGCGTAAAATAGCAGCTTAACGGTGCTGTGTTTCGTATGGTGAGTGTAGAGAACCGGAGACCCCTTTTACTGGCAAAGAGGCATTCCAACTTAGTCCTCACGGGTGACCACGCATCTGCATCTTGAGTCTTTATTGAGGATAGATGTAGATGTCTATGGGTCACAGTAACCACTTACCATCAGGTGGACTGTGTGCTCGTTTGTCACCCTATCATATAAAAAAAACTGTTCTTGAGATCTTAGAATAAGTCTAAACTTAACAAGTTATTTTTGATTTGAAGTAAGTATAGAAGAATAAGGAATAAAGGTTAGGCTAATGAATATATCAAAATAAAAATAGCATATTAGTAAATTTTCAAGGTGTTAAACCATTAACGATTATAACGACACTCATTTGTATTTTTATAATAATATTATAAATATATTGGTTTAATAATATAAACATCTTGAAACGATGTATATAACCGCATGGCTTAAAATAAGCTTAAAACAGTCAGATTACCTGATAAATGTAAATAAATTATTGTATATAAATTATCGACTTTCGGGACCAAAATTGAAACTGAAGTTGTTTGACTTCAGCTTACACTAAACTATTGTAAGAAATAACTCAATTATTTACTCCTCCTTACCCAATTATTATCTCCTACCTAAAACAAGGAACTATAATTAACTTCTCATTTTAAAGCAAGTTTACGGTTTTTAGTCTTGTAAAATATGAAATAGTTGGCGGCGCCGGCGTCAAACAACAATGTTAGAATCAGAATAAAACACGGAGCAAACTTTGTATTTGCTCCGTGGAATAAAATAGTTCAAGTGTAACTCACGATGGCGAACGACGTTAGATCTTTTTAATTTGTATATCGCTAATAATGCTTGAGGATTACTATTAAGATTGTGGTTTCCACTAACTAAAGTAAGGTATGTCGTTATCACTTTTTATTTTTTTATTTTAGAATAACTTTTTTTAAACATTAGTAAATGTAACTATTTCATATACATTTAAACAAAGCAATAAAAAAACGATAAATAGTTATAAGAAACTTTTTATTAATTTACAATAAATATGTAGTTATTGCAAATACGAATATTTCAGAATAAGATGTTTCATTAAATAATAAAAATTATCAATTTATATTTTTATTTATTTAAAACTTAAATCAGACGTAATTGAACAATGATTTACTTATTAATTTTTCAATTACGTCTGATTAAATTTATTTTCTCTTTTTAGTTTTCTTTAAATATTTCTTTATTAACATAACCTATATGCAATATAACAACAATAAAATTCAAGAACTTAAAATAATGTAGAATGTTCTCTTAGTTCTTTAACCGTAACAATTTCGTAAATACTTACTAATCTTATTTAAGCTTTGCCATAGTACAACTACTTAACTCCTATGTAGGAAATGGACCAAAAATACTGGGCAGTACTTATGTATTTTTTATAGAATATGGGTGAAAAACGAGCCTTTAATGGTTACTGGATCCTAAGACCCATAGATATCTGCATCATATCTCGATAAAAAATCAAAATGCACAATTAACAGTGGTAGAGCCACGCGGCAGCTTTTGCTGTCGCACGGATGTGCCGGCTCGAACCGGGGTGGTACCACGACCTCACAGAAAACCAGCGTGAAGTAGAGGTTTACCTCTGCGTTTCGCTTGGTGAGTGCAGGTGGCCGGAGGCCTTTTTTACTGGAAATGAGGCATTCCATCTTAGTCCTCACGGGTGATAAAGCATCTACATTTTGATTTGTAATAGAGGATAGATGTGGATGTCTATGGTCCACAGCAACCACTTACGATCAGGTGGACTGTGTGCTCGTTTGTCACCCTTATCCTATCACGCTTGAGGACTAAGATGGATTGCCTCGTTTCCAGTAAAAAGAGTCTCCGGTTCTCTACACTCACCATACGAAATACATTGAGCTGCTATTTTACACTGTCTGTGTCAGCATGATCCTTCTCCAGTCGAACCGACACATTCGTGCTACAACTACGAGTATAAATGTAGATGCAACGTGGCTCGCTCTACCACGTGTTGCTTTTCATTCTATTATATTTTAGTAGTGCCATCAAATCTATTGGTTTTTAATTTTATGAATGTCTCTTTATCTACTATACAGTAGTTTACATTCTATCTTCAGAGTCGTTATCAATGTATCCGTTCAGATGAAACTTTCTCTAAGACTTAACTATAAGTGTATCTCGAAGTGCGGTTCATTCTCCCATGCTTTTTCCGCCTTTATGTGTATAACGAAAGTAGCCAAATTTTAAACTTAAGTTCGAATATATAAATAATGATACACCGTTATTGCAGTTTTCTTTTAAATTATCCCATATTGGATGTGATTTATGGGCAACAACATTTTTGTCTACCGATCGACCCTTACGAATGTGTGCGTGAGCCGTAAAATCAATTGAAATAATGCATTATTATTTTGAATTTAAAAGGTAAAAAGGAAAGAATTATAGATTTTTTAAATTAATTTTTATTAATCATTTGCCTATATTACTTACTCTGAAACTTCTCTGTAAATTTGACCGGTTATTACAAAATAACCCTGTATATGTCTGTACCTGTATATATTCTGCTTTCTAAAAATCAAATTTGGGTTTCGAGGAGATCAGTTTACCTCTGATGCTGTTCATAGCCTTATTGATTTTGTCGTCAAGAAACTTATTACCGCATTGTTTCGTGACCTTACGAAAGCGTTTGACACCGTTTGAACACCTATCTTAATTTCCAAACTCCAAACATTGGGAGTAAGAGGACTATTTAAGTAATAGAACTCAATGTGTTAGGATTGGTTCTTATAGTAGTTCTGACCTGCAAATTGGTTAGGGCGTAGCGCAGGGTAGTATTCTTGGCCCCAGTTTGTTTTTAGTATACATTAATGACTTGTATAACATCAATCTTTTAAATGGAATGATCTCCTACGCAGATGATGCAGCACTTGTTTTCACTCGAATATTTGAACTAAAACTTACACTTTTGCTCAAAAAGGTTTTCACATTGTAAAAAACTAGTTGAACGCACATTTACTTACTTTGAACATTGAAAAAACAAAATTAATAGACTGCTCTATTCGAAACCATATTAATATAATTGTATATTAAAACACTCACACACACACACACCCACACACACACACACACACACACACACACACACACACATACGCACATACATAAATTATTACTAAGATAACAAATGTGTACCTATAGAATTAGTCTTAGTCTGTTGTATAAACACTAATAGCATTCCACATAGCGATCCACAACCAAAGTTCTTATATTTTGTCATGTTATGTATAAGCTTTCGCCAATCCGAACATCTTTTTCGCCGAATACGTGTTTTCCTTATAGATAAACCAGCTTTTGAACACACTGTTTTTAAATATTCTTATTCGAACAACTTAATAAATTAAACTCAATATGTGAAATACCAACGAATCAATAATTTGAATATTCCACAAATACGACACAAAAAATCAATTAAATTAAACGATATACTACACGGACTGGTGGTGGAAAGTTTAAGTGCGTCAGTATGAACTCCGCGCTTGCCAACCTTGATCATTGACCTTTTCCGCCAATTGGCAATCTTAGACATGCCTATATCCGGACACGGTGTTTAGAGGCGAAGATGTACGACGAGTTATATCGATATGTGACTCAAGCCATGATCTTCCTAACATTTGCTCTCGTCGACACTCGCGCCGTCTACAACACATGAAATATAGAGTTATTGCTTGTCGTAAATAAAAATAATCAAATAAATAAAAAAACATATATATTATGTTTTACACAATCTTATATGATCATCCGATTCTGATTCAAAGTTTCCAGCCTCTAGCTCATCGCGAAGTTGGTTAAAAATGAATTACTAATTTCAGTCCGAACAGACGTACATGAAAGCGAGTTAATTAAGAAAGCTTGATAGTTAATATTTTAATATGTATCCTTATTTTAAACCACAATTTATTGATTTTTCAGATTTAGAAAGCAGTTGTGAGAACATCCAGTAAATACATTTATCGAGATGATGGACAAAATTCTATTACTTTTACCTTTTCTAGCAGCGTGTGTTCTGAATTGTGATACGACTGGTAAGTACTATAAAAACAGGTGACAATCGCGTAATCAAATAATAGAGGAGTACATTGTGGCTACTATAGAGAATTTAGCTTGCTTATACTCTAAAGTGGCTACTGAATTAGGACCACATATTCCAAATGTTTGCCGCTTAGTGGCGGCGTATATCCGATAATCCTTCACCTTATTTCGTTCCGGAAATGTCGTAAGAAGTGACTATGGGAAAGGCCAAAAACATCAAGGCTTCCGATAAATAGCAACATACTCTCTCGAATAAGCAGGATCTAAAAATACTCAGACCGGCGACGGTCAAAGATACGGTAAATCTTGCACTGAGATATTCAATTCATTCAGCCTCTACAAACATGTATCGTGATGCTCTTGTGCATGTGGTTGGTCAGTGCCAGTGATAGTTTTGTGTATATACACGAAATTCATTAATTTTTCCATTTTTTTATTTTGATAGTATATACTATCAAATAAATAAAATTTAATGCGTTTAATCCGATGTAATGTCGAATTTTCGTTAAGGACAGATAAAACGTCGACTACAAAAGAAGAAACACATAAATAATAATGTTGAAATACAAAAGGATGAGAATCTAAATTCCACTGTGTTTTGCACGAACGTATATTTACCAAATGTGAACAGATTTAATAAATTATTTTTTAATTAATAGATTATACCTCACGATTGCTCCCATTTAATTTAGAAAACAGTTCCCATACCAAATAATGGGGTAAAAATAGGGAATAAAGTTTTAATGTAGGTTTAACTGCTAGTTATAGTTTAGTTTAGCAAAAGGGTCAAATGATGAAATGATAAAATTAAAAATGTGTTTTAACTATGATATTCAAAAAGTGATGCTCTTAAATTTGTTGTTTCATATTTAAGTAACAGAACGCACAAAGTTGTCATTAATAGCATGAGTTCTTCCGGGTCGATAGTACAAATGGGCGTGCCTAAGGACTCAATTTTTGTCCCCTTTCTGTTTCTTGTATATATTAATGGCATACCTGACATAGTTAGACAATTAATAAAATATGACAAAGTAAATAATGCTACGAAGTAAATAAACTAAATTAGTAAATTGGTTTAATGTTAATAATTTGCAATTAAATGGCACTAAAAATAAATGTATGTAATTCGTAACTCCAAATGTCAAACACCCTAAATACTAATGTACTTTTAAATGGTGAGGAGTTGAGTCTTATCGATATCACCGTTTTTCTTGCAATCACACTAGACGCGAAACTTCTATGGGTCCCAATATATCAAAACTAGGATGCAGACTTAGTTTAACAGCATATGCTGTAAAAAGATTAGAAATCTAACCAGTGTTGAAACAGCGAGACTAGTTTACTTTAGATATTTCTAGACACGCGACTGACACTGAAATTATGTTTGTTTTACAGAAGAGGGTAATAGGAGCAATCTATGATTTAAAACGTAAAGAGTCGCTCAAAAAAAATTTAAGGAAATTAGTACATCAAATTTGGCCTCTCAATACATTTATGAAAATGTAATACATGTACACAAAAAATAAAAATGGTTTTTACAAAAGTTACAGCCTATATACACGTCCCACTGCTGGGCACAGGCCTCCTCTCATTTCTGAGAGGGTTTTAGGGCAAGGAAAGGTCCGACGCGCTGCCCCAATGCGTGTTGGCGAACTTCACATATCTTCTAAATATATTTTTTTTCTTATTTGTCAGACATGCAGGTTTCCTCACGATGTTTTCCTTCACCGCCAAGCACGTGATAAATCAGCACTTAAAATTGCAATTAACAATTTCATTGGTGCCGACGAGAATCGAACCCGGGTTTCTCGCGTACTGTGAAACTTATAGCGAGCGCTAACCATCTGAGTTACCACAGCTCTGGGTCTACTTAGGTTTTTACAAACATAAGTGATATTCATTCTGTAAATGCCAAGAATGGAAACAAGCTACTAGTAACTCATAGATTTGAATATACTGGCGTAATCCTAAGTCTATGTAGTAACTCGACTCCATCGAGTTAGTAATTAATTCTTGGGGTGATGATTACTATACGCTGTGATGATTATACGATTTTACAACAAAATCCCAGAAAAACAAAATTTGATTTCCTACAAGCTCAAAATCTTTATTTAACAAAGTTTGTCTCAATACGGTTATTATAATATTAAGAAATTTATGGATGATAATAACACCTCGAAATGAGATGATCGCTGCCAAGCTATTTCTTATTTGTTTTGTGTTGTTAATTGAGTAACATATCAGTTGTTCCTTTAACAGTTCTTCCCAGGAAAGAGGTTTTTTTCGAACCAGTGGTAAATTAAAAAAGAGTAACTTTCAATAAGTATGATATTTATTAAAGATTGTAAATTGAATAAGAAGTTTCTGTATCTGTTTCTGTAAAAAAAAACACAATTTATTAGATTCTAAACTTGGTGCAAATGCTAAGACTTGGTGTATGGAAAAATTAAAGCTTCGACTTCAGAAGCTTTTTTTATAGGATAAGATGATAAACGCGCACACAGTCCACCTGGTAAGTAGTAGTTGTGCCCCATAGACATCTACATTAATCCTCAATAAAGAATCAAAATGCAGATGCGTCGTCACCCGTGAGGACTAAAATGGAATGCCTCTTTTCCAGTAAAATGAGTCTCCGGTTCTCAACTCATCATACGAAACAATGCAGTGTCAAGCTGCCATTTTAACACTGGTATTCTGTGAGAGCGTATACTTCCTCGGTCAAGGCGACCCATTCATGCTATAACTACACTACTAATATAGCTGCAGCATGGTTCTACCATGTATAGTAGCCGTTAAATTATGTGAAAACGGTTTTTTCTTATTACTATTGTAAAGTCGTTTTTTAATTTAATTATTGTGATTAAAATGTAATATATATATATATATATATATATATATATATATATATATATATATATATGATACTTAGCAGGATAAAAGAGCCGTGGTAGCACAAGGGCTAAGCGCTCGTTGTCACAGTACGTGAGCTACCCGGGTTCGATCCTCGCCGGCACCAAAGAAAATGTTAACTGCAGTTTTATGTGCTGACTAGCTGTTCCTCGCGACTTTGCCCGCGCGTAATTTATTGCGATTGGATTTTATGGGTAATTTTTTGCGCGGAATCTTAATTATTTTTCTAAAATAAAAGTAGCCTAAGTTTCTTCTTATAACATCAGCTATCTGCCAGTGAAAGTCCGGTCAAAATCGGTCCAGCCGTTTTGGAAATTAGCCGGAAACAGACAGACAGACAGACAGAAAAACAGACAGACAAAAAATTTAAAAATCGTGTTTTTGTTATAAGTAGGTACCGTATATACTTTCATGTGCATATAGTAAAAAGCTGTTATTTGGACATTACAAACAGACACTTTAATTTTAATAATTTGTATAGATTTACCACGTGCTCGGCGGTGAAAGAAAACATCGTGAGGAAACCTGCATGTCTCAAAAATAAGAAAAAAAATATTTCGACCTTGCCCTTGCCCTAAAACACTCTCAGAAATGAAAGGAGGCTTGTTCCCAGCTGTGGGACGTAAATAGACTGTAACTTTAACTTTTTTTTAACTAAGAAGCTTATTTGCAGGACCAACTCACGGGAAAGTGGTAATGTGCTACATAGCTTCATGGGCTACTTACCGCCCTGGAGCCGGAGAATTTGACCTTATAGATCTGAATCCTGAGTTGTGTACGCACATCGTTTATACCTTCACCGGACTTGATGAAAATACGCTGACAATCAAAAGTATCGGTAAGAATAAAAAACCAAATTATTTTTAAAAACAAGTAATTAGTTAATGCAAGAAGATTTAACTTTACAGCCAACTTTAGGCAAATTTTAAACTTATACATATATATAAATAAATAATTAATAGAATCAGGCGTTACTTTGCGGATATCCATTATATAAAAGCTTTTACAAAAATTTACTTCGCAGATATCCGCGTTATAAAATAAAATGATGTGTCTTACCTAGTATGAAGAAGCACCTCCCGCCCTCCCAAGGTGCACGCAATTGAGGGAGTAGAGTGAAAGTAAATTTTTGTAAAAGGTTTTATATATATAAATAATAAAATACCATTATTGTAGTTCTTGAAAATACGAGTAAATAAGGCTTCTTATATTTGAAATTATCCCAAATTGAATGTGATTTATGGGCAACAACGTTTTTGCCGATCGACCTTTACGAATGTGTGTGCGCAGTAAAATCAGTTAAAATAATGCATTACCACGCATTTTCAATTTAAAAGATAAAAAGGACAGAATGTTTGAATTTTTTTAATTAAGTTTTTTTCACCATATGCCTATATTACTTATTCTGAACTTTCTTTGCAAATTTGGCCGGTTATTGCAAAATAACCCTGTATATGAGGAGGCTCCTCCTATTTATTTAGATACCTTAGATTCTTGCATACCGTTAATTATTATTATATAGTATATTAACATTAGTCATAATATTGGAAATAACGGGTGTTAATAAAATATCCAAGGGCTTCTTTCTTCTTTTTTGGAATTCCAAAGTGTACATAATCCGAGCATTTAATATTTCCCTCCTATAATGACGTTTTACAATGCAGCAAAGGAATATTATTAGCCTAATTATTTTTTGCTGACAAGTTATTAAATTTCCTATTAATCGAAATCTTTTAGGTGTGCACGTGACTTTATAGAATCATACGTGCATCAATATTAATATATTCTTAAAGCCGTTTCTAACTTTCGTGTGCTAACTCTAAGCAACCGTTAAGGTCGAACCTGGTCGCTTATTAAATTATTAAAATTTACGATTACATTGTTAAATTCATTAAAATTAGCAATTAAATTGACAATTGCAATTTTGAGTGCTAATTTACCTCGTTCAGCGGCGAAGAAAAATATCATGCAATTTTTTTGCTGGTTCTTCCCAGGAAAGAAGTTTTTTCCGAACCAGTTGTAAAAGTTAAAAAAATACTTTCAATACGTTTTCTTGTAATCCAAATTGAAAATAAATGGTTCTATTCTATTCTATTATATTCCTGAGGAAACCTACATTAGGAATGTTGTAGAAGTTGCTGTATTTCGTATGGTGAGTATAGAGAACCGGAGACCCCTTTTTACTGGAGACGGGGCATTCCATCTTCATCCTCACAGTTAACAACGCATCTGCTTTTTTATTAATTGCATATTTATTCGTAATCGAGGATAGATGTAGATGTCTATGGGCCACAACAACTACTCACTGTCAGGTGGACTGTGTGCTCGTTTGTCACCCTTATCCTATAAAAAAACCCTGTACGGCGTACTAATTACTCCATAACCTTCGCAAAATAAGAGATCCTGGACCAAAAGTAAATTATTCAGCGCTACAATTAGTTATTTTAAAACGCCCATAAATTATTTAAATGTCATTAATGTTTCTAAATAAATGTTTAAATAAAATATTCTGTTTATCCTTCAAAATTACGCAAGAACATACTACACCGTACGTGTATGTCATGTATTGGTTTCACAACCAAAGAACCCTTTAACCCATTTCTTTCTGTTAGCACTAAGAGGCGACTACTGGACATGACTAAAAGAACTTATAACCTCCGATAAATAGTAGTATAACCATCTCCTTTACGCTAGACGTAATATCCCCAGATCGACAAGGGGAGCAGTGTAAAAGGTACGAGATATCTGCTACTGCAATCACCAATCCTACTTTGGCAACACAACTTTACCTTTTTACAACACGAGAGACTCGTCTTCAACAGCAGTTAACGCGGACTAATGTAGAAGAAGAGGAAGTAAATAATTTAACATATTAATACCGTCAAATGTTTTAGACAGTGCTCTCGAAAAAGGTTATAGCAACGCGGGCTACAAAAGCCTGGTAGCGCTGAAAGAAAAGTTTCCTCATCTGAAAATCTTTATCGCCGTTGGCGGCTGGAATGAAGGTACCGAAAAGTTCTCTAAGATGGCTGCTAATCCTGACTTAAGAGCCAGATTTATTGAGAGCGTAGTTGAGTTTTTAAAGTGAGTATTAATTATCACATTTATTTATGTAATTTATATAGAGGAAAGGTACCAATTATGGAATACGTCCCTAATATGGAATACCGTAATATTTCTAAAACTAAGTACCACGAATATTCCGAACTTGTGCCATGTTACTCCTCCCGCTACCCACATTCAACGGCCAGGGTGCGTGCGGCGTTCAGCGGCAATACATGCAAATGAGAGTGCGCGACACTGTTGATGCAACATCAATCTGATATTTAGGTAAGTTTTACGTATATATTCTCTTATTGTTCCTACATGAATATCTCAAAATAAGTTGATAAGTATCTGAACAAAGTATGTAGTTTTTAAATGGTATTGTTATTTTACGAATTTTTAAAAATATTAAAAAGTTACTTTTATTTTCCTCCCGCCACCATATTGTTCGTAATATGGAATACCGTTGAGGTCCTAATATGGAATAGTATTATATATTAGAACCTCAACGAAAGAAAGTTTTAATATGGTGTCTGATTACTAATTCTCTCTTTTACAGATATAATTGTGATCAAAATGACTCCACCAGTAAAAAAGCGAAAACCAAAAAAATGGGTTATAAGAAAGCTGCACAGGTTTTTAATGTACCTCGGACTACCCTCCTCCGGTTCTGTCAGGATACGAACCAAATATTATAGACTACCGCCTTGGTCGTAAAACAGTTTTGGGACCTGACATTGAACATATGTTAGTACAGTATGTCAAGCAAATTAAAAAAAGCGCTATTTTGGGCTAACACGAAATGATGTGAAGAGAATGGCATATCAGTTGGCGGTAAAAAATAATTTAAAACATCCTTTTAACAACAGAGCAGCTGGACGTAAATGGCTAAAAGGGTTTTTTTCGAGGCATAAAGAACTTTCTCCGGTCCAACCTACTGGTACATCATTTGCTCGGGTTAAAGGCTTCACGAAAGAAAATGTTGAATTCTTCTTCGATTTACTGGAAAAGGAATTTGAGCTTTTTAAATTCCCACCAACTATGATCTACAACGTCGACGAGACTGGGCTTAGCATTGTTCAATCGAAGACACCCAAGGGTTTAGCTTGCAGGGTTAATTTTATTATTTTCTTTTGATTAAGGAGACGTGATCCAATTATGGAATACCCTATTCCATATTAGGGTCACATTTTTGAGAAGCATATTTTTTGTTGATTTATTTTAGTTAATAATATTACGGAAAGTGTTTATGATTTATTGATTTAAATATTATTTTTAAAGAGTGATAATGACTACATTTAATTGTAACCAATGGGACTGATTAAAATAAAACTTTTGTACTGTTTTTTTTTTTAAATTTGTTTAAGTATTCCATATTCGGTCCCTTTCCTCTACTATATAGCGCACCATACAAAAACATGTACAAATAAAGTAAACAAAAAGTTAAGATTTAATATAAAGTAAAAGCCGAATTTGCCGAAAAACTAAAAATAAATATATTTAAGAACGAAAACCTTAAAATTTTTAATTTTTTTTCCCTCTTAATTGACTTAATGTATACATATATTTTTAATTTCAATGTTGTCAAAGAACTACATTAAAAATTTCATACCTTATTTTTCAACCCTTAGGGTGAAATTTTTTCTTCAAATGAATGTGAAACCACCTTTGAAGTATAATCTATTTAATAAAGGAAGAATCATCAAAATAGGTTCTCAATTGGCAAAAACATTTCGTAAAACGCATACAAACAACATACAGTTAAATTGTAAACTTCCACTTTTTTCTTAAGTTGGCCAAAAAGATTTACGCAATAGGCGGGCTTATTTCTGACAGCAATCTCTTTCAAACAACCAATGGTTGGACAAGATTTTAAGAAGAAAGTATGAAATATTTTAAATTATTCCAGTCAGTAAATTATAGTCACAATCGAGTTAAGTCTTCAAGTTGAAAAGGTCACAAATGCATTGTCAACTTTGAGTTTAACATAAAACTCCTCACAGCCGATTATTATACTGCCTCTAAATATACTTCGAACCTGAACATAACAGTTGCTGAACTAACTATGAAAAATAGATGATATAGTGTACTACACGATATATAGTGTTAAGTGTCCTTACTTTAGTATATACTAAAGTAAGGACACTTAATACATAGCAGAGCCATGTTGCAGCTATATTAGTAGTATAGTTGTAGCACGAATGGGTCGGCTCGACGCTCTACAGAATACCAGCGTAAAATAGCCGCTTAACACTGCTGTCTTTCGTATGGTGAGTGTAGAGAACCGGGGACCTTTTTTACTGAAAAAGAGGCATTCCATCTTAGTTCTCACAGGTGACAACGCATCTGCATTTTGATTATTTATTGAGGATAAATGTAGATATCTATGGGTCATAGCAACCACTTACCATCAGGTGGACTGTGTGCTCGTTTGTCACCCTATCCATATAAAAAAGCTTCTGAAAAGCGGGTCTATAATTACAAAATCACGACTTCACCTATATCAACACAATTAATATTTGATCAAATTAATACTACTTAACTAAACTCCGTGTATTAGTGGTGTAAGAATGTCTACTATCCCATATCATCTCCCGGGTGTCGTAAGAGGCAACCGAAGAACACAAATCAAGAGATGGGCCGCCGAATAACGACTAAAAACAAAAACTGCTATTGAAAACCCGCTTGCCAAGCGTGGCAACTATGGCAAATATCTTTTCTATGAAGCAATCTATGGAGGAGACCTATGTTAAGCAGTAGACTTTAACAGGCTGTAACTATAATGGTAACGGTAAAAACAAACCATATACTCGTAAATTATTAAAAATTAAAACTCTTAATAAACATCAATTCCAACTGTAGTGAGATAATAAATAAAACGTTCGCCAAAATCCATTTAAAGCAACTGTTATTTTTTACCAGTTTTTAATTGGTAATATTACACTCCGAAATTACAAGTGTGACGAAACCTCCAAATTAAAAATCGTTAAGGTATTTAGGCGACTGAAGGTCATCAAGTCACAAACATATATAGACTTTACTTACTTTACATGGTTTTTTACCTTTAAAGAATGTCAAAAGTTCACTTTTGAACATAGGCTCTCCCCATAGATTGCTCTGTAGAGGGAATTTACCAACTTTTCAGGCGAGTTGGCATCCGCAGTTTTCTGTTTCGCTTGTTATCAAGGTGTTACTGCTCATCTCCAGTTTCAGTTTCCCTCTGTCAACACCCACGGACCATAGGGGGTGGTGGATATTCTTATACCGCCACTACACGATCTGCAATGTTTTTGGTTAGGTACAACTCTTTGACCTATTTTTACCATTCAACAGTGCATGCATAAAAGGCCGGCAACGCATTTGCAATTCCCCTGGTTCCCCTGGTGTTGCAGTTGTTCATGGGCGGCGGTAGATACTTGCCATCAGGTGAGCCGCATGCTCGTTTGCCCCTCTCCTATAAAAAAATGCATTGTTGTGTTTGGGTTTGTAAACTACGGCGAACCAGTAATACTATACGCAGTGAGTGAGATATTTCATCACAATACTCAAAGGTTACAACGCCTATGTTGCCTTGTTTTTTGAAGTTTATTGCAGGTGTTCACGGGTTGCAGTAGTTACACTCTTGTTGTGTTATTATCGTGTTAAAAAGAAGAGTTTGTAAGCCTTACTTATTTATAAAAGGAGAATACCTTAAAGATCTTGTGCTTTGAAATGGAGGTATAACCATTTTATACGATCACCTTTATGTGATTTCTGATAGTGACATCTCTACCACGCCTGCCTAGCGAGAAGATTACGTCAAATCATATTACTCAGGCAGATTTAAAAAAAAGGGGGCGCGGGGATAGGTGAACGCCGGACTTTCTCCCCCGCCTCCATGGTCGGAGTTTAGTCTGCTGTTCTCGCCTCTACCAGGAGAGTGGCTTTGGCATCTTTGGATGTCTAGCTCTCCTCGGGAAGTTCAACATTAGTTGGATATGATAGAATTGTTGATAGTCTTACCCTACACTACATAGCAAATTGGTCAGTCAGTCACTGCGAAAGAGAATCAACATTGACTGTTAACGGATTGATGAAGATTAGGACATTAAATTTTTAACTGTTTTATTTGAAACAAATTCTGATTCCAGACTACACAATTTCGATGGACTAGATTTGCATTGGAAGTATCCCGTGACAAGAGACGATAAGCCCGAAGACCGACCTAATTTTGTATCTTTAATAAAGGTAAGGCATACACAAATTAAGAAATGAGATGTTTCAAAATGTTCCATACATTTTGAATCTAGTCAAATACTGACTGGACTTTGTACACTACATTAAATAAATTAATAGTAAAAGTACATTCTTAAAAATAAGCTTTTATTTAAATGCTCTAAAAATAAGAAAATAAACTTTCAATAAAATCGAACCCATGAATTTATTACATTACACAATTTATATGATATAAACGGTCAGATTTGAATTTACCATTACCTTAAGCATTAGATAAGTTACCAATGGATCTTTTTCTCATTGGATTGTATTTTTATATCCTCCTTCACTGCTGGCCATATGTAGCTCAAGGTCGCTCAGCGAGCTACAACAGCAAGCTGAATTTGGAATGGGCTGGCCATTTAGCCCAAAGAATCGACAGCCGACGGGGAAGAAAGGCAGCAGTGCGTACATTTCTGTGTTCCAGTCTGGAGGTTAAAGACCATCAGTGTAACTGCTGTGAGGATTTCCTAATCCTTAGCGGTGACGACGTGTCTGTCTCTGTCTCAGCAAATGCTTTTGTTTCATCTTCTTAGTGTTATTTTACGTATTCCTAATAAGCTAGAGCTGATGTTGTTAATAGATTTTTCTTTTTAGGAACTAAAAGAAGCTTTTATACCTTACTCATACTTTCTAATATCTGCTATCGGTTCCACAAAGTATACTCTGGATCAAGCCTACGACCTTCCGCAGTTAAACCGATATTTAGACCACATGATTGTGCTATGCTATGATTATCATGGGTCTTGGGAAGGCATCTTGGGTGTTAACGCTCCACTTTATGGACTAAATGAAGACGATGTCCTCAATGTTGTAAGTAAATCTTCTTTTTTGCACTTAAATCTTATGTGTAGTCACCTATTTTAATAATAAACCATACTGTCAAAAGCTTCTAGCGTTTTCTTAGTTATAGTGTCATATACGTTGGTTGCTATTCCATGCTGGAGCGTTTTCGCTTGGAATAGAAAGTTTTAGTTTTTTGAGTTTTTGAGTGTTGCATATATTTTCGAAATTATATTCTAAAATATAAATAAACTTAAGGTATTATTTTAAATCGAATTTATGGTTACGGACAAAATATAAATATTAGTTCCTCTCTGTTAATAGTTAGACAATGATCCAATATGATAAGAGCTTGCTTATGAGTATTCTCCCTTCCACCAAGTACCTACCTACCTAAAAATAAAAATCTTGAAATGAATTTGGATTTTGAATATATAAATATGATGTCTACAACTAGGTATATTGAGAAAACTAAGAACTGCATTAAGAAACAAATTGCTCGCTCGACATTTTGCTAGAACATTTCGTTAAACAAAAAAGCAACAAATGTTGGTCCGAATTTTTTTAACTATACTAAGCAAGTGTGACTACTATCCCACCTGACGGTAAGTGTTGAAGCAGACGACGATGGTAAAACACACTAACTTACCTTAACAAAAACCTAACACATTGTAATTAGATGGAAAAAACTTATGCTAGCAAATTATTCCACCCATGTGCTGACAAACGATGAAGCAAGCCGTTTCGTCTGAATGCGTGTTAAGTTAACAGCGAAGGGGTGGAAACTGGCTGAGCTTCTGGTTTTCCAATGGTGGAAGGGAGTGAGAGAAATTAAGTAATGCAATTCATGCACACACTTTCTGAATGTATAGTGTAAAAAACCAAAAGACTAGTTTTATGCGCCTGCAATTGAGACTGGCAAGATTGCCTGTAATCAGATTTGGATCACTTATAAGCATTGTATTGTTTTCTAAATAACATTTAACGCAGATTTAATTAATTTAGGCTAGGACTTCCACCACTTTAGCCACGATTCCTACCCGTCCCTACCCATCTCTACTTGTTCCTATTAGTTGGCCTTCCTATCTATACGCTAGATATAAAATACCTTGATTAGAAGATAGGGAGCAGTACCAAACGTCAGTTAAGGCGGATTGGCAATCATCCGCCTGCATTAATATCCCAGGCGATTATCGCAAATGATTCCTATAACTTAAGAGACTCATATCCAGCTGTGGAATTATAAGGGGTAGTAAAGAAAAAAAATTACTTATATTTCTCAGGACTATACTCTCAGGTATCTACTGTCTCATGGCGTAACCCCCGGAAAAATAGTTTTGGGTCTGCCATTCTTCGGACATGGCTACATTCTCAGTGATCCCGGAACACGTAATGTTGAATTTGGTGTCTCACCAATTAGAATGGAATCATTCCAAGGACCATATACCAAAGAAGATGGGTTATTGGGATATAATGAGGTAAATTATTTTTTTTTGCAATTTTATTTAGTTACTGCATATTTTTTTCTTTACATTCATCTTTTTTTCTCAATTGGCCGCAAGATCGATCTTAGCTTTTCTAAAAGAAATACTTTACACAATACTTCATATAAATATTTTACACCACAATGAAAAAACATATAAAATTCAAATTGTATCAATACTTTCATCGTCATCATAGTCAACCATAGATACTTTAAGTCAACTTAATATATATTTACAGATATGTAAAGAATTAACCGACAAATCTTCAAAATGGACACGTCATTGGCACGAACAATCTTCTACTCCCTACCTACGGGACGGCGAGCGCGTGATCACGTACGACAATACTAGATCTATTGCTCTTAAAGTCAAGTAAGTATGGAGTCACATTTTAAATAATTTTTATTAATTACCACCTATTCTAATAAAAGTAGATGTAGCCCTTAGAGTAACTCAAACGTATGTATGTGTATGCATAGAGAGAACCTACAATTCTACATAAATTGAGTCAATGTAGTTGTCATGCTTTGTCTAATTTAATTTTCAAATAAAGCAGAGAAACACTATCGGAAGATGATGCGTGGAATTTATACGTAGAGTTTTTAATGACAAGTGGTCATCTTTGGTCTCTTTATACTATGCCAAACTAAGTAAATGTTTCACTATTTACAGGTTAGCACAGCATGTACCAATATAAAGTTATTTTTATATAAGTTACTTATATACTCAATGACAGAGTGAGAAATTGTTTAATAAGCGAAGAGTGTGGTTTGTAAGATGATGTTGTGACCAGGATTAAGAAAGGAATGCTTCAGTGGTTTGGCCATGTAGAAAGAATGAATGAGGAAAGAGTGAATGAGCAAATTTATGTTGCAGAGGTGAACGGCATAGTCGGGAAGGGTCGCCCTAGGCGAAAGTTTATCGACCAAATTGGCGATATATTAAAAATGGGCCAAATCAAGAGTACCTTTAACCGACGAGCGTGTATGCGTAGGTATATGGATGTGGAGGAAGCGAGGGAGGTGTGTCAGGATCGTGCCAAATGGAAGTCCATAATCTCTGCCTACCCCTCTGGGTGACAGGCGTGAGTGTTTATGTTATGTTATGTTTATAGTAAATTATAAAACAAAACAAAATCAACAACTTAACAATAATACAGCAAAAAGATTTCATTCATCATAATTGATATCAATGTCGAGGACGGTCTTTTTAATTTTAGATACAGAAGTTCCGTTAATATTACACACAGTAGAATATGTCTCATAAACCTTGTAAAGACGTAATATTGAGTAGTGTGACTTAAGGTTTGTGCTGCAGTGACTGGTATGGAATAATGTAAGCTTAGTGCCTAGACGAGGGAATCTTTTTGGGATCTTAAATGCAATTATGGATAGTAAGTCAGGGCAGTTTAAGTTTCCTATAATAAATTTGTGCAAGAAAACCAAGTCAAGCATCTTTCTGCGAATCTCAAGGGTTGACATCTTGAAGTTAACAAGCCTTTCTTTATATGAATTCAGTTTTTTAGACATGTTACGGCTGAAAGCTTAACAAATACTTTTTTGTATCCTTTCGATACGATCGATGTGATTTTTGTCAGTCGGTGTCCAAACTATACTAAAATATTCCAACTCCTGACTAGAGAGTTGAAAAGTATTTTTTTAGTTATTGTTCTTTTAAGGCTCTTGGATTATCTTTAGAAACTAAAAGATCAATATGGTTAACAAAATTAAGTTTACGGTCCATTATGACACTCAAATCACGAATGTGGTTTACTTCCTCTTGTGACTCATTGTTAAGAGTGTACTGTGTATTGTAAATGCTTTTGTTGGAACGAAGTTCTTTATCGGACGGTACGGATTCGGCGGATGGGGGCTAAGCGACAAAAAGTGTAAGATTTTTCCTTCATGACCCCTACTGACATAGTGTAGGTGGCCTTGGTGACTGTAAGGAAGCGAGATGGAATAATAACCATCTCCCTCTCAATATTTCTTATCTTGCAATGAAATAAATATTATTTTATTTTAAATGACGCTTTATTTTAATAGACGCTAGTAATTCGTTTATTTGTATTTGTCAATCAATAATATAATACGTTTATCAATAATAATATACTACGAAAGGAACTTCGGTCCAATCGAGTATACCACGACACTCACGCATGTTTCTTGTAAACAGAAACAGACAGAAACAGAAACAGAAACTTTTTTATTCAATATAGATTATAAATAATACTTATTAAAAGTCACTCTTTTGTATAATTACCACTGATTCGAAAAAAAACCTCTGTCCTGTGAAGAACCAGCAAGAAACCCAGCGGGACTGTTTTTTTAAATAACAGCTTACAATCATGTATTTCTAATTTGTTGTGTTGTCAATTACACAAATTAACAACATAACAAATTAGAAATAGCTTGGTAGCGATGACCTCATTTCCAGGGGTTATTAACATCTATAAATTCTTTAATATTATAATAACCCTTTTTATACAAACTTAGTTTAATAAAGTTTTTGAACCTTGAGCAGGTCAAATTTTGTATATTTTCTGGAATTTTGTTGTAAAAGCGCCAAGTGGTCATCAAATCAAATCAAATGGTCATCGCCCCAAGAATGAATTACTGACTCGATGGAGTCGAGTAACTGGTACTACTAGCTTGTGTCTGTTCCTAGTATTTACAGAATGAATATCACTTATTTTTGTAAAACTACTTTTATTTCTGTGTACGTACATTACATTTTCATAAATGTATTGAGATGCCAAAGTTAATATATTAATTTCCTTAAATTTTTGTCGCAGCGACTCTTTAGGTTTTAAATCATAAATTGCTCTTATGGCCCTCTTCTGTAAAACAAATATAATTTCAGTGTCAGCTGCGTGTCCCCATAGCAAAATACCATACGACATTATGCTATAGAAATAGCTAAAGTAAACTAGTCTAACTGTTTCAACACTAGTTAGACTTCTAATCTTTTTTACGGCATATGCTGCAGAACTAAGTCTGCTTGCTAGTTTTGATATATATGGGCTCCATTGAATCTTCGCGTCTAGTGTGATTCCAAGAAAAATGGTGGTATCTACAAGACTCAGTTTCTCCCCATTTAAAATTATAAAATAAACTTTACGTGATTACACTTTTTTACATTCAGGGTCATTTTGTCACGTGCACACCATTAGCTCAATCTATTGAAATCCTCGTGAAGGGAGATTGAATCACTAAAACTACGAATTTACTTGGTGACTTTGAGATCATCAGCATTCATTACATGTAAATGTTGGAATTCCGAAAGCATGTGTCAATGTCATTAATGAAAAGTATAAAAAGATACAGATATATATACCGCAATAAGCATTATAAGGGATCGAACTGTGACCTTTTATTACTACTGTAAGCTTTCTGTTTGACAAGTAAGACATAAAACAACTCAGCAAGGGCTCCGAGATTCTAAAGAATTTAAGTTTTTTTGTTAATATGACACGGTTTACAGTGTCGAAGGCCTTGATGAAGTTGGTGTAGATGGCATCTATCTGAACACGCTTATCAACAGCCTCTATCAGGTTGTTCACGTATGTAAATAAGTTTGTGGCAGTGGACCTACTCTTCAGAAAGGTAGTAGGAAAATCACCACTACACAGAGACCTATTAAAATAATCGATAGAGGAAGTAATAGTTTGTCCAACAGTTTAAATAAGAAGATTGGAAACAATTTGTCAGGTCCTGCACTTTTCGTAACATCTAATCTTTTCATAGCCTTTACAACTAGATCCTGTGAGAGATACTCGAAAAATGCGATGCAAAGATATTACAGATCACCTCCAAGTTTTCAGAGTTGTTGGATTTCCAGGTCATAATTTCCGGGTAATTACTAATTCTACCCCTTTTAATTTTTATATGACTCCAAACGTACTTAGGGTTAGAGGAAATTATTGATTCTATTCTTTTTGTATATATATTATAACAAACGTTATAATATAAATTAAAGTCATTTCGGCTCATCAATCCAATGTAAATGCATCCACAGGATTTCTATATTTTTCAACGTATTTTTATGCGGTAGTTTTCGTTTAAACTTTTGATTAGTGACCGAGAAAACCAGTAGGGGTAGCGCGAATTTTTTATACATATATAAGGAACATGTTTTTTAATAGAAGTACGCACCCATAACAATCAAATTCACTACGCCAATCCACATTAACAAGATCTTTGCTAATAACCTCGTAATAACTCTTATCAAAATTCAATTTAGTCTTAGGTGTGCAGTGTTTAGCACTAATAGCAAAATTAATCGGATTGCTACGAGCTCATAGCATAAGTGGATGATGCAGGTCGATCTTAGATAGTACGTCTTGTGGTGACGACACCTTAATGTCGTCTTAATTCGATAACACTAGGTCCAAGACGCGGTTGTTTGAATTGATAAATTATTAAACTGTTTTAAACCATTATATTGAATAAATTCCCAAAGTAGCTGATCAATTCTAGAGCCCATGAACTAAGGTGTTGTAATTAAATTACCAGTCTAATCAATCCATTTGATGGAGTTAAGATTAAAATCACCGAAAATTGCATACTTATCGAGACTTTCTAGAACTCTGTTAGTATTCTCAACAAAATGTTCCAACACATTATATTTTATAGAAGGAGCGAGATACACTGCACGCAAACATAATTCTTCAATTCCTTTGCTAGATGGTAAGTATAGCTTAACCCACAAATCGTCACATGAACTCTCTAAATTAGACAACCTAGTAGATTTATATTTGTTTAAGACTGCTAACAGAACACTGGCGATGTTCTGTCCATCTCCCTTCTTGTTGAGTTCGTTAATAGACCGGTCGCGTCTATAAAGGGAGCGTATATTAAAACATTCGTATCTTCTGATTTACCAAAAAAAATACATCCTTATTATAGTAGTGTTATTTGTGACGTTATTTCACAAGGCATGACGTCTTTCTTCTATAGTGATTTCGTTCTTGATGTTAGCAACAATCAACATCGATATACACGTTTTTTTTTAAATTATTTATTATGTATTACTTTATTGTAATATGTCTAAATTAGTAAATTATTTTCTAAATCCATTGATGATAATTATATTACATTGCAAATATTCGTGTCGCAGACTTTAAAACCTAGTAGTAAGGTATGAATACTAACTCTGGACAGTCACGCGGTACATAAACCGGTAGGATTCCATGTGTTAACCAATTTATATGCTGATGTACCACTTGCTTAGCAGACAATAAAACCACCGAAAAAGCTATATCGGCTTGGGTAACAAATTAAAAAATATTTCGAAATCATGAAGCAAGGTTGGATCTCGATAATGCCATGTAGCGGTGACGTAAGAGAATTCACTACATCCTACCAAAGAATAATATATTATTATTACTTAGAAATAAAAATAAAATATTATTACTTAAGCTCTAAGACCTCGTACCATCCGGTGGGTATAGTAAAAGGCGAGTAAAGGGGAATGGCGTAGTTTATAAGGAATGGGTTATTGTGACATCCTTGAAATGTCCAGTGGATTTAAAATTCTGGAAAAGAATATTGCAATTTGTGTTATATGTACTAGGTAAAAGGACTCCTTTTCTGCCTACGGTTCCGTCTGGGAGGTACCATCCTCTTACCCATTTCTGCCGCGTAATAGTAGTACAGAGTCACAGTGAAGGGTACAGGGAGCCAGTATAATGACAGGCTGTGAGGCTTTCCATCTTAGTCCTCAGAGGCGAGAACGCTTATATACCCTTCTATATTTAAAGTTGTGAGTCCATAGACTGCAGTAGCCACTTATCATTAAGAGGAATGTAAATTCGTATCTTTTTTTATAGGATAGGGTGCCAAACGAGCACACAGTCCACCTGATGGTAAGTGGTTGCTGTGGTCCATAGACGTCTACATTTATCCTCGTTTGCGAATCAAAATTCAGATGCGTTGTCACCCGCGAGAACTAAGATGGAATCCCTCTTTTCCAGTAAAAAGGGTCTCCGGTTCTCTACACTCACCATACGAAACACAGCAGTGTTAAGCTGCTATTTTACGCTGGTATTCTGTGAGAGCGAGGTCCTTCCCCGGTTCATCAGTTTTATAAAAAAAAATATTGAACAAAAGCTCAAAAGAAATGAGTTTTTTGTTTTGTTCAATTTTTTTTATTAGTGTATCTACACTCCCCATACGAAACACAGCAGTGTTAAGCTGCTATTTTACGCTGGTATTCTGTGAGAGCGTGGTCCTTCGCCGGTTCATCAGTTTTATAAAAAAAAAATATTGAACAAAACAAAAAACTCATTTCTTTTGAGCTTATTTGTATATTTGCAAACTTCACAAAACCTTGACATAAATACGATGAAAATACGTATGTTGCCACTTCGTAAAATCAGCAAATATATAAACTGATATTCTGCGTTGTTATCGTGTTACATATAATTTTAATGAATATAAAAGAAAGCATATTTTATTACAGGAAAGCTGTTGAATATAATCTTGGCGGGGTCATGGCATGGTCTGTTGATACAGATGACTTCAAAGGCTCTTGTGAGAAAGAGGTGGACTATGTGTCAGTATCGTATTCAACTCTGCATGAATTTGCACAAAGGTATAACCGTATTGCCAACAATCCTGTGTTAGAGGGTATCCTCAAGAACCGTAATCTCCCTAGTGGTAAGAATCTTTACACATGTAAGCTTTATACTTAAAAAATAAGAAATCTTTCAATTGCGTTTTGAATTTGACGTTTCAAATTTGAAGTAATGTAGAAGATTTCAGTGCTATAATATTCAAATGCTGAATAATTGAAACTTATAGTAAAATTATATTGTCCGTACAGTTGGTGTCATAAACCATAGCTCGGCCTCAGCCCAGCTAAGTCGGTGAGCATGTTGCGCGGGCGCAACGCCATTATCGATAACAACATATTTAATTTTAGATAATAGTTATTATCTTTATATTTATTTTTAATATAACTTGTTACATTCCAAACATGTGTACTTATAGTTTTTTTAATACATAGATACCTAATTAATAATTTATTTTAAATCACTGTTATTCTTGTTTTAATAAATACGTTGTTTTATCTAATTTTTTTTTCATTTTTATCACGAAGCCACATAATGACAAAACTAAATACACTATCGATAACGCTTATCGACAACAATAATGCGCATCACTATGCTCGCCCCTAAGGCCCGTGAGTGGGAGAGAGAGCGAAATACTACGATGATTTATGACCTAAACTGCACGCACAAAATAATTCTAGTATAGTGTTAGCTATAAAAACTATAAAACTACTCCAATTTTTGCAGCCGCTTACTTGGACCGACAAACAAATAGACAAACAGGCGCAACAGATGTTGTCACAAGAAGCAAGAACCGCATTTGGCTTACGGAATCCCAATCCCCAAACTATGCTTTACTGCACACAATTGACGACATAATGCACCTTGCGATGGAGGAAAAGGGTATCACTGATGAAATGATACGTTTATTGACAGAAAAGTCAGATATATCAGGACAAAGCAACAAAAATAGCAGTATTTATACGATGGTGTGTTACTTCTGTTTCATATAAAGTTAGAAGCTATCTAATCAAAAATATAACCATTGATTTATTTAAGTAGAATAAAAAAATCCATTTCTTATTTAAATAACTAGAATATAAATAAGTAAAAAACAAGATTAAAAAATACAAGAATAATATACACTTCAGTCATCATTTTTAATTTAACTATAAGTTTTATGTAAGTATATCTAGTAATGACAATATGTATGCATTTAATAAAGAAGTACAAAATACTTGGTAATGTATATAATGAATATACACGTATTTTGAAATAAATGTTTTATAATATACTTTATTCGTAAAGTTAAATAAATTGATATAAGAACAAAGCATTTTTCTTTATTTCATATCATCCGTTTATTCTAATCTATAATTAATAGAATCAGACGTTTTTTTACGAAAATAAAACATCTTTAATGTTCTATTCTTTCCCATTTTATTAAGTCATCCAAGTGGGAAAACACACCGACATCACATTTTTGTAACTTAAAAAAAATACAAACAAATAATATTTTATCGCCTGTATTTTAAATTACGTTCTCCCAAAAGACTGACAAACCTAGAACTCTATTTAATATACACCTTATTTTAATGAGCAATAATGTTGTTCATTTTTATATTATTTACTGCTGTATCGGGTACCGGACAGTTTCCTCTTCATTTGGTTAAAACTGTTGAAATCACAGAGATATGGTAGTTAATAAGTCATTTTTAATAGGAATCGCTATGATTTTGATATATTTCCCTGATAGGAAATATGTTAAACGAATTATTTATATATGTCCTTTATCTTTACTTATGAAGCAATTTGTTTTGTGCTTACTCGTTGTCGTAGCCACGCAAGAATCAAAGGAGACTTGTGCCCAGCAGATAATAAATCTGGGCTGCGGGTGTCCATGGACTCCAGTAGCCTCCTTTTTATAGCACAAGTGCGATAAACGAGCAACCTGATAGTAAATAGTACTGTGGCCCATAGACATCTGCAGCTTTCCTCAATTAAGAATCAAGATGCAGATGCATTGCCACCCCTTAAATCTAAGATGGAATGCCTCGTTTCCAGTGAAAAGGGTCTCCGGTTCTTGTCACTCATTGAGCTACTATTTCACGCTGATTATCTGTGAAAGCGTGGTCCATCCACAAAATGCAAACATAAAATAGATGTACGTTCTACCATGAGTTAGACTGTAAGTTTGTTTGTCACGTTGGTTTTATAAAAAAATGGAGCAATAAAATCTTAAAAAAAAATACTTACATAACTGTAATCAAACACACAACTAACAAATAAATTAAATGTATTAAAGTGTTATTATCTATTTTAATATCTTTCCAAAAACTTAACGATTACATATATTTGCAAATTTAATTAAGTAATAGGTATCAAGAAATGCTCAGTAAAATAAATTTAATCAGATGCACAACCTGAGTTATAAGGTCAGCGCAAGCTTTCTAGTTCATCATTTACTCGCACACTTTACGGTCTAATTATTACGGAGAGTTGTAAATTGAGAAGTTTTAATTAGAATTACACTTGTACTACTGTATTACTACAATGTTATTGCAATTATTTACCTTTGTATACAAAAGATGTTCAGATTAACTGACATATTTATCATCGCACAACCCAAATCATTAGACAGTAGCTGGCTTTAATGACGCAGACATCCACTGAGAATGGATTTTAAATGGGAAAATTCTAACCCCAAGAAAATGAAATAGTGTAACAGTTTATATAAAACTTTTTAACACAACCCCTAACGGTTTGGCCATCATCATCATCATCATCATCATTACAGCCCTTCACAAGTCCACTGCTGAACATAGGCCTCCCCCAAAGAATGGCACAAAGCACGGTCCTGAGCCACCTGCATCCATCGACTTCCTGCATGTCTTACCAGGTCGTCACTCCATCTCTTGGGGGGACGCCCTACACTTCGCCTACCGGTACGAGGCTGCCACTCGAGAACCTTTCTTCCCCATCGGTTGTCGGTTCTTCGAACTATATGGCCGGCCCATTGCCACTTCAGCTTACTAATCCGTTGGGCTATGTCGGTTACTCTGGTTCTAGTGCGGATATCCTCATTCCTAAGTTTATCACGCAGAGAAACTCCGAGCATAGCCCTCTCCATAGCTCGCTGAGCGACCTTGAGCTTCCTCATCCGGCCAGCAGTGAAGGACCACGTCTCAGTTCCGTATGTCATCACTGGCAATACGCACTGGGTGTACAGTCTCGTTTTCAAGGTTTGAGGTATACCTGACGAGAAGATGTGCCGTAATTTCCCGAACGCTGCCCAACCGAGTTGAATCCGTCGATTGACCTCTCGGTCGAAGTTGGACTTACCTAGTCGGACTATTTGTCCCAGGTAAACATACTCGTCAACAACTTCGAGCTTAGTGCTCCCAACAACTACCGGCTTAGGTGTGACATGGACGTTATACATGATCTTTGTTTTGTCCATGTTCATCTTAAGACCTATCCGTTGGGGGGCACTATTGAGGTCATTGAGCATAGTGCTTAGGTCCTCCAGAGATTCTGCCATTAGGACTATATCGTCGGCAAATCGAAGGTGAGTGATGTACTCGCCATTGATGTTAATACCGTATCCTTTCCAGTCCAGAAGCTTGAAAACGTCTTCCAATGCAGCGGTGAAGAGTTTCGGGGATATGACGTCACCCTGTCTTACACCTCTCTGCAATTGGATAGGTTTCGTACTCTGGTTCTGTAATCGGATAGCCATCGTAGCCCTACTGTACAAGCACTTCAACACTTCGATATACCGACAGTCAACTTGGCACCGCTGAAGGGACTGCAGCACCGCCCAAATTTCGACGGAATCAAAGGCTTTCTCATAGTGCACATACGCCAGACATAGTGGCAAATTGTACTCTTCGGACTTCTGTACAATTTGCCGAAGGGTATGTATGTGGTCTATGGTGCTAAAGCCCTTTCGGAAACCGGCTTGTTCGGGAGGCTGGAAGTCGTCAAGTCTGCGCGCAAGACGATTCGTAATGACTCTCGAAAACAGCACGTAGACGCGGCTCAGAAGGGAAATCAGTCTGTAGTTCTTCAAGAGAGCGTTGTCACCTTTCTTGAAGAACAAGACCACCGCACTTCTGCTCCACGCCTCCGGTGTAATGCCACCATGGAGGACGGAATCAAAGAGCTTCTGAAGGACTTCAAGTACCGGTTTTCACCCGCTTTCAGAAGCTCCGCTGTAATTCCATACTCGCCTGGGGCCTTACCGTTTTTAAGGTGCTGGAGAGCCATTCTAATCTCGCTCAGACTGATGTCCGGGATATCTTCGGAATAGTGTCGGATGAGACTCGCTCTTGGATCGTTACTCACACTTGCGTGTGGCTCCAACGATGACGTGTACAACTGCCCATAGAACCTCTCAATCTCACTCAAAATCTCAGGTGTACCGGAAACGATACTGCCACATTCTGTCTTCAGCTTTGACAGTTGGCTCTTTCTGGCAGACAGATCTCTGGCAAAGACTTTGGAGCCTTGGTTCCGCTCGATCGCTTCTTCAATACGAGCTGTATTGAAGTTGCGTTAGTCCCGCCGCATGCATTTGGAGATCTGTCTGTTCAGATGCCTGTATGCTGTATGCTGTCAAGTCTGTTGAAGAATGTAGCTTCATCTCCCGTCTAACAGCCATGAGATTAAGAGTGTGATCGGAGAGTTTTTGTGTTCTTCTGCGGCGGGTCTTGCAGAACTTAGCTCCGACCGCATGGACAGTTTCCACGAGCTTGTCATTCATATCGTCCACTTCATTGCAGTCTTCTAGGCACTGAAAACGGTTTGGCCAGGGAGTGTTCAAATGTATATTGAGAAAAATAATTAATTGTTTATTTTGATGTGAAAACTGGTGGCAAATATAAAAATATTAATTTATATTAAATTAATATTAATATATGACATTAATGAATGAATTTTAAAATTAATAATTAACTGAATATAGGAGAACCGAAGGTATAAAATTGGGAGAGAGGTAAAGCCCTAGTAAGGGATGCCACTTGCGTAGACACTTTGGTGACCTCTCATCTCAGGGGTATCTCGTTTAGAGTCGGGGCGGCATCAGAGGCAGCTGAACTGAGTAAGTGGCGCATATATGATGAGAGATGACTACATATTTGTGCCATTTGCTGTAGAGACTGTCAGATTCAGAAGTTCCCAAAGGAACTCTACCCGCGACTGGTCGTTGCTGCTGGTAATAAGAGGGCTGGTTCTTTTCTTGCTCAAAAGTTAAGTATAGCCATTCAGCGAGGAAACGCAGCAAGCTTTCTCAGCGCGATACCACAGGGAGTAATGATAATTAAGTAATTAGTATTGGTTTTTCTATTATAGTTTTTTTTTTAATATTGCATATAATAAAAAAATATTTCATAAAAAAACCTGAATCAGCACGGTGATTTCGCGGGCTATACCAATAATATACAAGATCACAGCTTACCGCTGCGCGCCGACAAGTACTATAGGAGCCTTCGACACAGGGAACGGATTATTGGAAGCGGGAAATCATCAAGTACTTACTAGAAGGTAGGATTCCTTTTCTCACCTATTTCTGCCAGGTAGTTCACCTGGTTCACCTTTTTTACTTCTGTTTTATATTAAAATGAAACAATTAACGCAATCCACTAGAGAGGCTTATGTTTAGCAATGGACTTTTAATGAGTTTTAATCATAAATCATCATCATCATTACAGCCCCTTACAAGTCCACTGCTGAACATAGGCCTTCCCCAAGGAATGCCACAAAGCATGGTCCTGAGCCACCTGCATCCATCGATTTCCTGCATGTTTTTACCAGGTTGTCACTCCATCTAGGGGAGGGTCGCCGTACACTTCGCCTACAGGTTCGAGCCTGTCACTTTTTTTTATAGGATAGGGAGACAAACGAGCACACAGTCCATCTGATCCTGATGGTAAATGGTTGCTGTAGCCCATAGACATCTACACTCACCATACGAAACACAGCAGTTTTAAGGTGCTATTTTACGCTGGTATTC